TAAGATAACAGTAAAGCAAGAACAGGCGAGCAGTATTGCTAACTACTCACATATTATAAGATATCAGTAAAGTACACGAATAAAACTGGCGGTCTTCGTCAAATTAAAGGAAAGGCGTCAGATAAGACGCGAAGTAATGAGACTTTGTGTAGCGAAATGCATTTGCTCATGTGGTTAACAACTGTTCACCTATCTATGAACGAATGGTGAATACCTGCGCGTCATACAAAACCGCCAGGTCACCCAGTACGGTGCAGCGTCGGTGTGCACGGAGTCTTTGCGCAGGCTAGTTGACTAAAAAAGGGGTGTTATGTAGTTGCTAACGACATCATTGTCAATATTAACCCCAACAGCAGCTTGTCGCAACACCTCACATCCAAGCCGCTATGGTTCCGCTGCAGATGAATAACACCGACGGGCTCTTATGAGACAGCTTGTTCGACTTGCTTTGGAACATTTCTGACAATGTTATCGCCAAGGGAGCGCTTGGTTCATTACACAGAGTATCAGCACTTTAAGTGAAACGCTTCTTGCCCTACCAATACACGAACCTTGGTCTTCTGCTGACTTGACCCTGATGATTGTACCCGTACACGTGCCCATGTGCTCTTATGTGTGCCCTCTTGAGTCGCGCTGTTCTCACGTTGGAGAGACGGTCACAAGCCTGGCCGCCTTTTAGACGCTGTCTCGAAGACAAGCCCGTCCTAGCCGATCCAGCCGCCACCCCACCGAATTCAGTGTGCTGCGTATCGCTTGCGTATACATTTCAATCGCGGAACAATGTAGCGCTCAGAGAGCAAAAAACACAACTTCTGTGCAGAGGGCTGTTAGGTTGGCTTTGCAGAAAACATTAACCACTGCATTAATGAGTGTCACTATAATGAGGGTGGCGATTTGGGCTTGTTGGTATGGTTGCATGATGATGGATGGTAGCGCAGACAACGAACACGGACAAGAGAAGGCACATAGACACAACACAGCGCTAACTTTCAACAAAGTTGTTGAAAGTTAGCGCTGTGTTGTGTCTATGTGCCTTCTCTTGTCCGTGTTCGTTGTCTGCGCTACCATCCATCATCATGTCACTATAATGCTTTTCATTTATGTGCACATCGTCAATAGACGACTAACATTTGTGACGAGCTAAGTTAGAAACCTGAAGGCATGCGTTTCTAAGACGGGAACAAATGCACTGCGCAAATTTTTGGGTTTTCTTGCTGGAAGGCTTCCGCCACACAGAGCAAAACTTGTCATAATACGATATAATACCACCAAATGAACTTCATTTTTGAACGCAATAGAACGCATCCGCTACTAAGCTGCCAGCTAATGATTTCCGATACATTTGTACATAGCAGTGCTCGATTAGTACTATGTTATTTCATAGGGCGCACAGCATCGACATCAACAACTGCGATGACAAAAGTGATGCCACATTTCCTCGGCTACTCTAATCCTTCATCTCCATTTGCATCTAGATCCGAAATGTGCGATTTCTATTGGAGTATTTTTTTTGGTAATTTTCAGTGCCAAGTTTAACGGAATTGCCCTGGAAATATGACAAAAGCTACGATACTTGTGCGATTACATGAAGTTTTCGGTCAGACTTTAAATTGAGATGGTGTGAATTAAGCGAAACTCCAGTATCGTCATTTTCTTCATGAATACAACCTCAGCTACACAGTGACGATCCACAAAACAATTAAGGCAATGCCTTCAGCTCCTTAGTGGCTTTCTATTCTTTTTTCGTCATGAATTGCTTGCTTTGCACGCATTTACATATGTAAGACATGAGCCGAAGGGGGGGGAGCAGGGGGTTAAGGGATATTATATGGCTTTGCTTTGATACAGCTTTCACAGACCCGTCAGTGAGCAGATAGTCAATAAGCAGATGCAGAAGAGAGTAGAGTACGATGTGGATACATTACAAACATCCACATGAGTGTGTTTGCAATGAGCCGTAAGTGGCTTTTCAATCGCGACGTTTTCTACTCGTATATAAAGCATGCTCGCTTTAGCTGTTGTCTGCACAAACAAAATTCATTCCTACGCAAACAAATTTATCTTTGCGTAGGAATAACCTTAAGAAATAAAGGCACGAGAAAAATTTGGGGGGGGGGGCGCTTTGAAGCCCGATAGATTTTAATGTAAGCCTATAGCAAGTATAAAATGTGCACTTTTCCAGTTCAGAAAACAAGTAACTTGCTAAACCTGCTGTCACTGATTAATCCCTTGAGATATGTTAGTTTATACCGCCATAGTGGTCTACATCACAGTAGCCCTCACTTCCCGGCAGCTTACACAGCGGATCATACACACGGTGAACTAACATAGCCTACAGAATGTTAATGAGATGACCTCGCGGGTGACACGGAACCTTATTTTCCTACAGTGACTTGATCATCAGGCGCTGGAGACGACAAGTTAACAAACGTATAGCTTACCGGAAGAATTGGTGGACTTATTTTCGAGCAGGCGAATGCCAGCAAGCACCTTTCTTTGTATACATGTTCAACTTCGTATCTACGTAGCTTTTTCGTCTTCCCTTCTACTACTGCCACTTCCGAGCTCAGCAGACAGACAAGCTGCATCATATATGAAAGGTTACAGCGCGAAAAACTTTGAATAATAGGTTACACGAAGCAGACGGTAGAAGCGGTACTTCTTGCACAGCGCTTCTGCACATATCATAGTAGCATAGTCGATTGCTGCCCTCATGATTTCCTATCCCTTTTCGCGTAACGTTGCCCCCCTTCTGATAACATTTATTCCGAATAGCCTATGCTTTTTGGTCAGATACTTCTCGTTGTTAGGAAAGATTTTTAACAGCGGAGCTGCTTAAGCCGGAGTATCGCCGAGTAAGCGACACTGCAAGTGGATATGCGCCAACGAGCTGCTTGCATAGCATAGCCATCTATAGTGCAGTATTGCAAGAGGGTGGGAGACGGAAGTGAGGTTAAGAAGGAGGAAAAAGGAGAAGGGTAAGGCTACCAGCTCCGCTGTTTCCTCAGTCCTTGCCCCTCTAGTGCATTTAAACAGCGGGTATCATGTATTGCACTTATCTTTGTCCTAATGTAACTTGAGAATTATTTACTGTAGTTTAACCAGACTTCATTAGCTGTCTAAAGAAACAAACAAAAGAACATGATGGCACAAGCCTACCATAGTAACAGCTCTAAAGTGTAGCCGCGATGTAAAGTTTGGCTGCCTTTACCAAGGTCACCAAGCCCTTTCGTAAGTGTATTCAATATGCAAGTGGTATACTCCCTTATCTACACTATTAACTCTCTAACTTTTTTCTTATTATAAGGTTTCGATTATAAGGCTCAAGCCGACATCAAGATAGTCCCCATCGAGCAGTCTGTTACATGAATCGCGAAATTACCCAATTATATGGAGCGTTAAACACAATCGCTATGTTTTGAGACATGCTCTTAGGTTTTTAAAATGCTTTAAGGAAGATAGGTTAAAAATCCTGTGAATGGATAGCACAAGATAAACTACAATTTTTCGGTAAGCTATACTGCACCTAATTCTCAATCTACACTTTGTCTTGCACGAAATATCTGAACTGTCTGTAAATAGGGGACGCGCCCACTAAATCGAATCTGTTTTGTAGACAGTGGTGTAAGCACTCATGTCACTCATTCTAATACACAGTAAAATACTGGTGGTGGAGATGATGCTATTCGTTACTCATAACGCTTACGTGTTCCTTACGTTTCGTCATTTTTTTGTGTAGTTTAGAATCAAATAATGTTTCGAGAAGGCTTTTAATTGGTGCAAGATGGTTATCATATTTACGCTACGCGTCTGTACTACCAACTCGTAACGACCTCTTTACGGCTCGCTATAATATATATACAGCACTGAACAAAGGAGTGTATCGCCTATAAAGCAGTCACTAAACAAAGGCGTCCGTGACCACAGCTCTGGTTCCAGTAGTGCTCACCTTAACAAAGTTTCAAGGCACAGCGATTTCCCTCTGCTTTCTTCTTGCCCGTAAGCTTCGCACTCGCGCGTCTAGTCGCGCGTGTGCACTGTGAGCAAGGAGCCAAGTGGGGCATGCGGCAGCGGCTGGCATTATACACAAGAGAGCCGAGTTGCAGTGGGCGTACACCATTAATATAGGTTGAGGAGGACGCTAGTGGACTTCCTTAAAAAGCTCTGAAGGGTAGTAGCTCCCCGTAAGGTAAAGGAGACATCAACGGCAACACACGTGACGAGAATAGCACGCTGTGAAAGACTTCTTATTCAGCCTTTGAAACACTGAGCTACAGGATGCCTTTGACAGGTCGAGGTACTGCAAGTTGCGCAACTGAAGATGCGAGATTCCAAGCCCGATCTTCACTCCCTCCGCCGCCGCCAAGGAAAAGCAGCTCAGAGGGCCCTTCCCCGCCCTTCCCGAAAGCCCTGACCACCGTCGTTGTACGCACCAAGACACACGGTAATAGCACAAACTACAATGCATACACCTCTCACTCGAATTGCGCCTAGCCCAGACAGCACTGCGTAACGAAGCCTTGCGGTCCATGGCACGAAACAAGCAAACAAAGAATAAGGAACAAGTAGCGCTCCACCACAGATCAGTCCAAGTAAAGAGTGCTGTCACTGGACTGGAAATGAGTCTTGAACAACACGAGCGTTCAAGAAGCTCACCACGTCGACTATATAGACTTTTTAAAGGAGAGAGAAAAAGAAAACAGCAGCGGTGTATGATACAAAGACACGGATAACAATCGGTGCAACGGCACACCTGATGATGTTTGTGGATGGGAACAACTTGGGCAGCTTATTAAATACGGTCGCACGCACACGGACGAAGAGAAGAGGAGAACCGGGGCTTGATCGGTTCACAGTGGAGGAAGAGAAAATACTCTTTTGGTCTGACTCGGGCGGCGCACCTTCTCGTTCGCTCTCTGCCGGACCAAGGAGACGGGCCGCACAGCCAACAACGGCGAGGCGCGATAGAATGTGTCGTGTAAATATAGAATATGTATATGTACATACAATAATATGTATTTATATAGATAGGCTCGCGGATGTGTGCACGCGACTCTCAAGCAACAAGTGACGCGCGCGAGTGACCAGAGGCGCGCAGCGAACAACAGGGCGTTGGTGGGGCCCCCATATGACTAGTGTGTGTGCGCAGTGGCCGGAGGAGCACCAAGAGCCGGCGAGCTTCAGTCGTGGTGGACTAGATTGTCCGGCCGTGGCCCGCGCACCCGATGAAGGCCGTTGAACACCCACGTGGTGGAGGGGCTGGCGGTGGCTGCCAGCCCGCGGCTGCAAATGACCGGCGGGTCAGCGCCACACCTTGAGTTTCCGGAAGGAGATCTTTCGCAGGCGCGCCGCCATGGCGGCTGGCGGCGCGTCGTCGTCGGACAGCGTCTCGCCCTCGCTGTGCACCTGGCGGGGCTCGCGACTCGTGCACGGCTCGCAAGAAGACGCTCCGGCGTCCGCCGCTGCCGAGCGCACTGGCGACTGCTTCGGCGACGGGCACGACTTGTCACGCTCTGCAAAGACACGGTTCTCCTCTCAGTGGTTCCACTCTGCGCCAGATTCGCAGAAAGAGAGGCCTCGGAATTTGTATGACGTTTACTGTTTCATATCCTTTTCAGAACTCTCACCTCAATTTAGGGTAGACTGGGCTGAAATGAGACACTCAGCAAAACGCCACATTTTGACTCTGCCGGCCACTGTAGCTAATACAAAAAAAAAAAATAATTTCCATCGTTTCTCTTTTTCAGCGATAATTGTGCATGTCCTTGTCTATCTTTTCATGTGTAAAAGCTGACGATTGCTCGCAGCGTTCGCGCGGGAAAATTTACTGTGCTGGTGTGCTTTAGTGACTCGTCAAAAAGGGACAATATTGTGCTGGCCAAATTTTCGGATCCATGCATGGCGCTCTTCCAGTGTCAGTACAACAGCCTATTTATTCTGTTGATTTATACTACTAGCTACATGGAAAAGTTTAGTTCATTTGCTGCCTAGAAACAAAGCTGAAATTGTTTTGAATTCGGGCACATGAGAGGGCCAAATTCGACAAAAAGGCATCGAATTGGCTTTGAAAGTGTCTTATTAAGGAAACCATTTACTTACACTCAGTATATATTATATTTCTTTGTTTAGGCGGGCTCGGAAGTACCAGAGAATATTATATAAAGCTTTCTTCGAGAAAGACATTTGAAAGAGGACACACTGCTGTTTAAGACAGGACTCGCTCCATTCGCGCTGCGTCAAGGTTCTTCCACGTCCCCAAAAATGCTCTCCATAAACGCATGATAAACTTGGAAGATTCTCCCAAGCTGTTCACAAACGCGTTTTGGGATAGAGTTTTAATAACATTTCTTCAATACCAAATTTTCAAACAAGAACAAGCACTCAAAAAAAAAATCGAAGCTAGCACAGTTTTGCAAAGCCCGGCTGGCGAAGCTTAAAGCCACAAAACACTCATGCAGTTCTGCATCAAAACGGCAAAAAGAGACAAAAAAAGATGCGTTAGTATGTATATAGCCTTTTATTGATGAATAACCCAATGAAGTGTTGGCATTAACAAAATATAACATTAGCACAAAGAAAGACGGGTGGTGTCTGATTAGCTAAGAGTGTTCGACCAGCACGGCCCAGGGTTCTCGACAAATTCGATTCGTAGAGTGCTATGACCGGGCTTGCGAAGACTGCGCCGGGGCTTACGGAGTGAATTTCAAGTGTTGCTACAGCAAAAACTGTTGGACTTTTTTTTTTTGACAATGTATCATTTTTCCCGATGCATTTTCTCATTTCGCCCAGCAGGTTGGGGCAAAATAAGACATCTGGTGCATTTTTATTTCTCTTTAGAATAAACTTTTGAACAGTGGGAACATGGTCATATTATGTAGGACATACTTTTAATCCAAAGGCAAGTTTCTGCATTGATGTTTTATGGCCATGAGTGAAGTATGACAGAATATTCAATATATTCATATTTTTATTGCATTTGAACCTACTCTACCCTATCAATACAGTTTAACTTGGCAAATGCCATATTTTTACAGTGCTTGGTGGTGGTACAGTGCTGCTTACCTTTGGATTTGATTGAGCTGCGTAGACGACTGAGGCGATAAAAGCTGGAGCATTTAGGGGCGCTCATCTTTCGCCGTTCGCTCAAGCCCTGAAACGAGACAAGAAACAGTTTATCTTTCAAAGCTGCAACAACAACAACAAACATAACAACAACAACAACAACAACGACGACCACAACAACAGCAACAACAACAATAACAACAACAACAACAAAGTAAAGCATCCGGCTGCCTTTTCGAGTCTGCGCAATCGCACACAGACCACTCACCTCATTTCGCTCTCTCAGTTCAAACCATCCGCGGCCCTTCCACTGGGACTGCACCAGGTAGACGTTCTCGTCGTCCATCAGGGTGCGTAGACCGCGGCAGGGGCCCCGGCGCCGCACCGAAGAGCCGACCGTCGGCACGCTTTCGGTTAATGGAGACGGGTACTCCACCTGTTCCACGAGCACAAAGTTGTTCGGGTCCTCCGTGCGTCGGGCCTTCGTCAGAGCCTGCGCAAAGGTCGGATTACTACAGTGGTTACCATAATACAGTCTTTACTGCGAAGCCAACCCTAATTTTAGGCGTCGGTTCACACCTACATCTTTGGCTCCGGTGACATCCCCTGTTGAACTATTTTTCGGGCGCACGCTTTACGTTTGAGTTGATCATGAACCATTATGACGGACAAAAGAGATACCAGGTATAGTGCTTATTTCAAAGCTTCCAATAAGATCGAGAATAACGGATATTTTATGATTACAATCTCTATCGACCCTGGAGGTGTACGTACCTGAGCAATAATATCCTGAGCAGTGCTGCTTATAGGAGCTTTCAGAATTGCATACGGCTGGTCGGCGGAGACGTTGTACACGCAGACCAAGTAGGCCGGCTCGCCATCACACCACCCGATGAAGCCCGCGTTCCCGTGCTCCTTGTTGCTCGAAGATTTGATGGTCGTCATCCACGCCCGTGTGCTCGGGTCCTGCGCGTGAGCGACAATGAGCGAATGGCGCGTGCTCGCTTGCCATGCTTGAATGGCTGCACAAGGCACATAAATATTTACACTGTGCACACGCTTAATAACACGAGCTTTGCGGATATGCACTGGTACAAGTTCGCGGTATCGGCGTCGCTCCATTAGGCAACGCAGCTATAGCAACCGTTTTGATGTATGTAACAGCAACACGGTTGATGTTATATTCAGTTCCCGGAAATTCATTTTCCAAAAGAAAAAAAAGTCTTATTAGCATTTTTATTTGTTTTTTCAAAATAAATCTTACAGCCCTTCCACACGTTACTCATGCTAGTTTTGAGTCCCGTAAAAAAATATTTGGAGAGGATGTGGCAGCTGGAGAGAATGTGGCACCGCTGCGCACGGAACATAAAAGGCGATTGTTTCCGGAAAATAAAAGGGGTTAAGTGAGCACATTGTGTCGTCCACATTTTCCTATTTGTTCTCGGCGGCTGCAGCTAAAAAAGTTTTCAAAATTCTAATACGATTACTTCCGTATATGCCGGCCGCGGCGGAGGAACCAGTGGGTGAAGATCAGAAAAAAAAAACGCTATAGCGTCACATCGAAGTTCCGTGTTGCCCCCGAAGATTGCAATTATCGCCTAACGACACGTGCCTTGAATGAAGACCATAAAACGCTAGTACGTTCATTGCAGTGCGCGAGCACAAGTTTCAGCATGGACAAATTAGGGGGACTCAATGTTCGCGTAAAATGTCACCTATTAATATTTTTTGCCGTTTGCACTGTTATACATACTGGAGCAAGTGTGTAGAATATCGAAATAGCCCTAGGATTTTGTGGGACACCTGGAAACGTTCGAGAGAGAAGAGACTCACGTCGGCCAGTTTTTTCAGTATGAAACGGCTATCCGGGCTGGAACCGGCAGGCTGCGATGCCAGCGGACATTCGTCCGGGTCTAGGATCCTCTGCGTGGTACTCTTTTCCTGGGTAACTCGGCCCCAACCCGGCTGCGCCTCCTCCATGAGGACATAGTCATCGAGACTGTCGTTCGGCTTGTTGGCCTTTTGAAGCGCCTGCAGTTAGTAGAAGCAACGAGACGAACCTCTATATGGTTACATCGTCGTATCACAAGGGCTCGACCGCGCACTTTGTGATGAAGCTCAAAAAGATGTGGAAGGTTTTTTAGTTAGAAGGATGGAGAGCGACTCGACCTTTTAGTTTGCGGAGAAAAGATATACACTTAATTTTCCAACAAAAAAAAAGAAATAGAACGATGCGGTGGGAAGGAGCGTGCTTTGTGCCACCCAAGTGGAAATGAGATGGAACTCTGACCGAGTGTGGCAGCTGCTTTAATACCCAGAAAAGTACTAAGGGAATAACTGGGCTTACATGAATGGTGCTCTAAGTATACACTGACTCAATGTTCATTAACCAGCCAGATGAGCATGTGACGTGGCTTTAAACGCTTGTTTTTTTAGTCAAGCTCCTCTCTATTCCTCTAATTCAAAAAAGTCCTTTTTCTTGATAAACTTTAATGAGAGTGTACTACCGAATGTCCTCGTAGTTGTTTCATATTTAGTTGTAAATGGTGTACACTTTGTACCACGTGTATTGAGGGTGTGATACACGTGGTAAGCAGTATACTTGTTGTATACAGAGCGTTAAAGGTGAAGTGCAACAGATCGAAAATCATTACACGTGCTCGATGAAGCAACGCGCCAACTATACTTTTATAGTGCAAAGTGACACAAACCTAAATTTTGATTAGTCCACACAATTCGATACATCTTAATTGAATTTGCATGTTTTTTCTCAGATTTTTGTTAAACGAGTTGAAAGAGAAACTGTTTCATCGCCAATGTTCTCTGTGTCTCTTCGAGCTCTCGGACCCTCACCAACAGGATCCTGCACGTTGAAAAAGCACCGCAATGGTTCCCAACCTGTGTGTCCGAGCTCTACCGAATATAAGTCGTATACAAGTCTGTCTTGCAGAAAACTTTTTCACGCTAAATAAAATCCAAAAGAAAAGATGACAGCAAGGTATCAAGTGGGACGTTCTAATTAGCAAATGCGGTCAGCCTAATGTCGAAAAACGCGTGTCAACGGAAAACTTAGGAAGTGCGACTCCATGTAATAATGAAAAGCCTCACTGGGCTAACTACTTTTAACGCCATGGCTGAGAGGCTCTGCGCGCACGCTAAGTCACCAAGGAGACTTGTGTGCTTGGGAATGAATATAAGTAAATATGCCGTGAGAATCCTTCACTTACTTGAGCAATAACTTCTCGCGATGTGGTGTCCTCCGTTACCTTCAGTATCGTTTTTGGTTCATCCGGCATGACTCCGTGTACCACAAGGAAAAACATTCGACGCTTCAGACCCTGAGCTCCGGCGACCAGGTTCTGCAATAGAAGCATTGAACAAAAGAAAGTTACACTTTTTGCATATTCAAGAGAGGCTCCAACAGGGTACCCCCACGTTGCTGAGGCACAAGTTCAGGCACTGTTATCAAGCATGAAATAAATGGTCGTAAAACATTTTAGTCGATGAAAATGCCACTCTGAAACTCAGCACTTCGCCCTGCACGCAGTCTCGCAGTGCTCCTCTCTATATAGGTGTGAATTGTTTGAGGAAGGCAGATGGGATTTGTAGAGGACACTTGCATTTGGCGCGGTTTAAGTCTTCTACGGCAGAGCCGTTGACTTTGCCACAAGAGGAGGGTGAATTGAGGGAATAATCAGCCAGAGGAGGTGAGGGCACCGAAAAAAGGGGGTCCCCTGCCGTCGCCATGGAACTTAGCATCCACACGGGGATTTGCACATAAGCCACGCGGAAAGCCTAAGCGGTCTAATCGCTGCTGTGTGCGAATGTCGTGGTAGGTAGTAAGCCGATCTCGCGCTATAAACGGCACCTCCTCCGTAGCGACACGTCCGATTTGCGGGCGCCGGCATATGAACCGCCTAGTTTCCGAGAAGGCTCGCATACGAAGGAGTCCAGATTAGTGTTACACTGTCACTTGGTGTGTGTGTGGGGGGGGGGGAGGGGGGTGTGTACTAAAAGGAGGCCTATGGAGACGCTGCCCGATAATATATTATGTACGACAGGTTTAGAATCAGTGACGATAACAGATAATTGTTGCATTGAGGGCCAAGAATATGGCCGCCTTTTCCGAGGTTGAAGAAGAAATTGAGGCTGCCGTTGCCACCTGGCCGTGACCGCTTAGGATGTATATGCGTGATGATGTCCACTCCTTTGATCAGTGACGTCAACATATTAATATATAGTCCCCACCAAAGCGTGTTTAATAATCATATCGTACGCGTAAAACCTTAGTATTACATAACGTACTCGTGTAACGCCTAGTGAGTAACACATCATTCGAATTGACCACTTCCTTATAAGAAGTAGGAAGTTAACAATATTGAGAACAGAAATTTTGTGATTTCAACTTCGATAGGCTCTTGTAATAAGATTTCTTCAGGTTCGCTCGGTCATGTTGCTGCAACTGTACACATTGTTTGTTGTAAAAAAAAAATCCCGTACGTTTCTACAAAGTCACACCATTTTCTATAGTCCCGAAAGCTATCGAAGTACACAGTGAACGTGGTTCGTGGTTCGTGGTTCATGGAATAGAGGCGCATGTATCAGAACTTTAGCGTTCGCAGTATCCCTCTTCAGTGGGGAGGTGCGAAGGTTAGTCTCAGAGTCCGCTCTCCCTGTCAAGTCACAGCTTTCTTTGCACCACCTCCACTACAAGAGGGAGTGGTCAACCTCCCTTTCCGTGCCAATGCCTACGGACCCGACGTTTCAATCTGTAAGCACCTTACACTCACATCTCTGCCGTCGCAGCGAATGCTGTCGGTCGAAGAGATTTCCTTGGTCCTTCCCTTGGCCTTCTTGGGGACGGCACCTTCAAGCAGGTCTCCGTTCTGGTGGACGACTTCCAGCCCTTCATCCTCGAACTCGGAGTAGACGAACAGTGATGACAGAGGAAGCGGCTGGTTCTGAGGGCTACGCAAGCGTACGTGCCTGTAACCTGCAACCAGCCATCGTGCGTCAAGTATACTTGGACGTGAAAGAAAACGTGCACGTGTGCACACATACTATACACCTACCTTGAGCACGGCAAAAACCAGGTATGAACAAAAGATTTCAGCGGGCACTGTTTGAATTGGCTGGATAATTTTTAGTTTTCTTTCTTCACGTCTACTGGGGTGCTCGCAAACCGGGTTGGTCATTGCATATAGCCCCTCTTCTATTGCGCGACTTCCGTCATTTACTTGTTCACCTCGACCTATGGCTGTCGTATACTAATGTGCTATTCTGCATTTACAAACATCCATCGTTAGCAGCATATTTCATACACTGCTTACGATTCTTTTGCACTTCCACGCACTTCTGATTTATATTTTATATCGTGGCCGAAGGAGCATGTGTGTGCTAGCATTTTAATTTATTGCTTTTCTCGGCAACGCGTCTGAGCACACCAACGTGGTAACGCGGTTCTCAAACAGAGCTCACCTTGCTTCAGGCTTTTGACGGGGATCACTCGTTGAGAGAGGATGTGATTCGTCATCACGTCGATAACAGAAAAGCGCAAGAATGCCAATTCTGCAAAGGCGATCTGGAAAATAGAGATTGAAAAAATGCAGCATGAGTCAGCTTCGAAAGTCTCTAGCGTGAAATGCACCAGTAAGTATCCACAAACACAACACCAACTGCGGAACGAAACAGACGCTTCTCACAAAAATTATCATACTAGCTTAAGAAACACTAAGTGAGTTGATGTGCGTAGTCAAGCAAGAACAAATCCACAAGCTACAGCAGGTTACATTTCAACCGGTTCAGGGCCTATAGCTTTGTAAAGTTACGAAAACCCTTGGGGCCGTAAAAGGGCACTGTCGCTGGCATTGAGTATACAATGCATCGAGATCACAAGCAGCACTTGCAGTACAACAGCACTAGAGAGCAAAGGGACCAGATGAATAGGATTGACACGCACGCAGGCTCCCTTGTCCTGTGATCCCTTGTTTTCCAAAGAGGGAAGGCAGGGAGAACTCTCCCCTACTCTCCTCAGAGGAGGGGGGGGAGGCGCAAAATCTACCCCTTATATTGACTTAATAGGGGGCAAGGCACTGCAATACTCCCCCCCCCCCCTTATGGGCAACCATGCATGCGCACACCTATGTTTCCCAGACATTCTTTTACTGCAAGCATAAGATAACAAGCCCCAAAATACGTCTTCATAAGCAGTACATCATACCTATTACATCAAAGCTCAATCGAAAGAAAGAAAAAACGTTGCCTTTTTACGTAGTCCTACTGTAAATAAAGAATTCATTTGAGTAGACAACACAAAGCAACGTCAAATGTGATTTCCAAGCAGGAACGATATAGTTTGCTGGAAATCAGCTATTCGCTGAAGAAATGAATTTACAGCCACGTACGCCGTGACTATTTTATCTGGCAACACTCATCTCAGTGGGATGTGGACGATGCATGAAAACCCTGGAAATAAGACTACAAGTCTTCGATATATTATGACACGTGTTGTCGCAGTGAGGCTGATCGAGGCACACAGTGCACGGCGCAATGAGGGAATATATGGCGGCAGTGTTGTAGCTAAGGAAGGGGGAAATTAACCCACATCCCTCCTGAAACACTTCAATTTTGCATGTGTATATACACGCACACATACAAATGTAATTTTCAATATGGTTGATTGGGCGAGTTGGTAATACATGACTGTTTGAATTGAGAGCGCACTACGTAGACGCGAACAGGAAAGGCGGGGACGAGCGCTTGTCCCTGTCTTTCCTGTCCACGTCTACGTTGTGCGCTCTTATTTGAAACAAACACTTACAAACGCATGCAACGACACACAACAAGCAAGATTAACCCCTCCCCTCCCATCAAAAAACAATTTCCGCGACGCTACTGGCTGGAGATAACATGAATCTATTTACACGCAAAGCTGTGACTCGTAAAGTAGAAGAGAACTTTTTTTTGCCTTAAGACTAAGACCAGGCGTAAAAAAATTCGACCTACCCGGAAGCAGAAACTGTCTTGCCAGATGGGATTGAGCGAGTTGCGTTGCACAATCTTGGTTTTAAGGCGATTGCAGTCGAGCGGCACGCCAACCACTTCGACCTCAACCTGGGGGCTGCAGGCGTACGTGTTCTGACACACGTATTGGCCGGAGATCACCTGCAGCGAGCGATACAACCTTGAACAGAGCAGAATCAGTCAACTGCATGCTGTTAAGAATGCGGTTGCTGACGAGATTTGTCAATTTTTCATTGACACGATCACTGTTGCCGACACGATACGTGCATACACTTTGTATGCGTAATTTGTTATATAATTTATATTAATCATGTCATACATTATTTCTATGTATGTATACCTTCACGTAGCAGTTTTTCTACTATTTTTTCAGTATTTTCTTCATTTGTGCAAATCCTGACTGACACTGCCTCTTACGGAGATAGCTGTTTCATCAAGTTCCTCAGGTATTACGAGCTTTTACGCGGCGTTTCTCGCTTTAGAATGAAGCAAAGTAAGCTGAATTTACTATTACATATGTGCACCAATAATCAAAGCAACTTCATAACATTCGAGCCACCGCTCGACCCCATTTGCGCAATAGCAATTTTTAACTGGTGTCATCATGCACCATTTTTCTGTACAGTTCACAGCCTCACTGATCTGGAGATAAGCAGGTCATGGTGGTTTTGGGACGTTAAACCCCACAAATCAATCAATCATGGTATGAAAGCGTGCCTTTCACTGTGCTTTCTGTACTACAAACTAGCCGCCGCAATGACGTAAGTTCATACTTTTTACTACGTCGCACGAATTTCAAACAGTGCCATCTGTGAAACAACTGTGCTTGGTGCAAAATTAGCTTTCCTGTCTCGCATACTGTCTCACATTGTTTCTTCAGCATGACGACTGTTGTGCTAAACAACTTTAGAATAGAAAACACGTCGTCGACCGAATTCGCAAACGTGAAATGGGTGGTTTTGGAATGGTAAACTATTTTGGCTGTACCCACAAACCCGTAGTTCTAACATAACGTACCGAACTATTACACGACTTATAACTAGTTCGGACACTGCTTGACACTGATATGACGCTAACACGATGCTAATACAAAGCTTACACGATCGGACGGAACGAGTAATTTGAACATTTACTGTGACCTTTACTGCACGATAGGGTATATCATGAAGAGGAGAAACTCTGTACGACGTCGAGTTGGCATGTAACTTCCCCGTTACGCACTGTATTGGGTAACAAACCTGATTTTCTGTTCTGGTTCACTTTTCTTGTCTTTCGACTGTCTCTCAAGTTACGAATGAACTAAATGTGACTCAATGCTTCATCTCACCAACTTGTGAAACTTCAGTGTCCTTTTTTATCAAAGATGCTGCACAATATAAGCCATCGTAAAACATCTCAAATTAACAAGCCTGACCTCACTGCATCATAATCATGGAATCGCTGTGAAACAAGCATTACTATGCACTTACAAAGCCCACCACAGAGAAACTTTAGTATAATTGAGTGTACTGTCACGTACGGCTCGTATCGCAAGATCAATGTTCTTAAGTTAGATGCCACAAAAGTAAGATGGCGACATGTGACGTGAGTAGATTATGAAGCCGCTTACAGTGATATGAAGGTTTAGAGGATGAATGCCGTCGAATTCCTTGTCCCACGGATTGTACTGGCCGTGCATGATGTTGTTCTTGTCCCACATGGCGCTGGGCTTGAGAACGTAGCCGCAACTGCCGTTCTGCTCGAACATGGCAGTGTTGATGTGCAGGCCGGTGTCTGCAGGATAGAACCACAGCACAAGCACAGGCGAGAAGGCTTCATATTATGCTCCTCGGTGAAAATAATACATGTTAAAATAAACTTCTGCAAACAATTAGAGTAAACAATTACGTGACGGGCAAAAGATAGGTTTGTGCTCTATGTTTGACACGCATTCGTTGACGATTGGTCAAGTTATGCATACACCAAGACAATGTTTCATGCAGGCGCAAGAACACGATGGAAACTGGCAGAAAGCCGAATATATAAAATCAGAAAATAGCTAAATAGCTTAACAAGTAAACGTAGCACACGAAGTGCTTGATTTGTAGTCCAATTTTAAATATCTCTGTGAGCTTTACGCACTGCGACGACATGCATTTAAAGCTGTACATTCGCAGTGTCAAATTTCGGCAGGTCGTTTCACAATGCTCCATCAATGCCATACGAAGTCGCGCCAAACGATTTGGGTTATGATAATGAGCACTGTTCTAACCGAGACATTTACAGGTCTCATTTACACTGGGCAGCTGCTTTACGCGATAATTGTGGCCCAACTGGGGTTCTTTCAAACAACCGTTTAAAAACCCTAAGATGTCAGCAAGCGCGCTTCTCTATTTGACGCACTGCTTTTCTGTCGTTGGCAAATACGACAATTCACTCACCTTCAGTCTGATAATTGAGCGCAACCATCTGCAGTCCAAAAGCCCAGAACGTCACTGGGTTGAAGTTGGACGAGTCTATTCTCATTCCGGCAGGATATGTGCGCATCAGTTGGTTCTCGCAATGCGTGCAGAAGGGCGTTAAGGAAGCAATGCACATCACAGTGGAAAATAATTCTCGCGCTAACAGCATAGTAACAAAGCTATTAATCAAAATAAGTTCGCATGCTCCCATTGGCCAAAATTCATGCTCTAATAACTGAAAAAATCTCGAAATAGAACAATGCTGCCAAGTGAACACCGCCTTTAAAAACCCATCAGAAAAGACACCCCGAAACTAAAATTCTCACTAAGGTTTGCTACTACAGTGCAATACAACACGCCGCTTCATCATAAAGTTATAATTTCTAATTTAAAAAACATTTGGACAGACACAAGTGCCAATTTAAGCTGACGCTAATCATTCTAAAACTATATGACAATTTTTTCATCCAATTTAAAGCACTGATTGACAAAAAAAAATAGTTGGTTTGTGATTACATGAAGATCCAGAGAAAGAAACAGTGCTACCGGACGGGAAAAAAGAAGTAGCCCACAGAAAGCCACCGTGTCGGTGGGCTTATCCTCGTTTCGCCCGACCGGCGGTGCTATATTTTTTTTTATGTTCAAACAATACTAAAGTGCCCGACATCTAAATGCCCGAAGTAGCGCATGAGAAACTTCTAAAAAAAAAAAGGAAGAAAATGCTGTAAAAGGCAAGTCTCGCCGAAGTTAAACAAAAACAGAGATTTGAGAAAGTTTAGATGAGAATGCCATCCTGGAGATGACAGCCTGTACTTGTACAGGTCAATAAATAAGAAGCTATCAAATGTTTATGTGATTGTCACGATTCTAAGCAATTTACATTGTTACAGCCTATAGGTAGCGCGTTTCAGCGTTACTCTATCAGGCAGAAAAGAGTGTTCCACGCTCGCCTTGATGGCGGTGCTGTCTAACATTCCCAGGTCTAAAACGAGCATGTGTACCCCATAAAGTGGACGAGGGTATGACCGCCGCTTTAGCTCAGTTGGTAACAGCCGTGTTGTTCGAAGATCACAAATTCGGGCCCTCCCAGTGGCAAGTTATCTCTTTCATCCACTTTACGTTCTTTACAGTTGAAATTACTACAAACAACACTCCGTGCACTTTCCTTGACTTTTCTGTCTGTTAGGTGTACTGAATTATCGCTTGCTATAAAGCGTACGAAAAAGTTACTATAAGCGTTATATCTTTCCACTAGTGAGACAGACCTACTATTAGCGAAAGTGGTTAACCAATGACAAAGAGCACCGACGGAGGAGCATAGCTTTTGGATTTCAGAAAGCTTTTCGCTTGGAACTAGTGATAGGCAAGTCAGCCACCCTATAATACAGTGTCAGCCATCACTCTTTTAGCTGGCATTCGCTCTTAGCCACACAACAGCTTAAGCGTGGGTTGATGGTAGAAGACATTTGCAACAATGCTAATGTATTTATTACGACTACAAGCAGACAGTAATACACAGAGAACCACAATCTTCATTGTATCGTGTATCGAAACTGCCGTTTAATATTCTGACCCACTTAGTGACACCCTAAGTAATACGCATGGAGCAGGAGTGCTAAAGGAGTCAGGAATAGCGAGCAGCAAATCGCTGATGCTAGTATACTCTGACTCTGCGCATTTGTCCTGCACGTATATAGCAACCCTACCAGTGAAGTTGCCTATTTAGGTTTTGCAGTGATTTGCTTTGTATCGACGACATACTTGAAAAAGGATATGTGATAAGGGCGAGCGGATGGCGCTTGCAGAGTCTTTGGCAGCACTTTCGTTCATGGAAGACACCTGGAAGCACACTGAATTGGAGCAGTGGCGTTTTGTCGACGAGGAAGCCGATGTAGACACCGAAGCAGTGATGCCGTCGGGGGTGTCGTACTTGGGCTCTGCACGCGTTGGAAAGATCCGAGGTTACGCACAGAAGATCCAACACAGATAGTGCGCAGCTAGCGCATGAGGACTGCACTATCTGTGTTGGATCTTCTGTGCGTAACCTCGGATCTTTCCAACGCGTGCAGAGCCCAAGTACGACACCCCGACGGCATCCACTGCTTCGGTGTCTACATCGGCTTCCTCGTCGACAAAACGCCACTGCTCCAATTCAGTGTGCTTCCAGGTGTCTTCCATGAACGAAAGTGCTGCCAAACGACTCTGCAAGCGCCATCCGCTCGCCCTTATCACATATCCTTTTTCAAGTATGTCGTCGATACAAAGCAAATCACTTGCAAAACCTAAATAGGCAACTTCACTGGTAGGGTTGCTATATACGTGCAGGACAAATGCGCAGAGTCAGAGTATACTAGCATCAGCGATTTGCTGCTCGCTATTCCTGACTCCTTTAGCACTCATGCCCATGCGTATATACTTAGGGTGTCACTAAGTGGGTCAGAATATTACAACGGCAGTTTCGATACACGATACAATGAAGATTGTGGTTCTCTGTGTATTACTGTCTGCTTGTAGTCGTAATAAATACATTAGCATTGTTGCAAATGTCTTCTACCATCAACCCACGCTTAAGCTGTTGTGTGGCTAAGAGCGAATGCCAGCTAAAAGAGTGATGGCTGACACTGTATTATAGGGTGGCTGACTTGCCTATCACTAGTTCCAAGCGAAAAGCTTTCTGAAATCCAAAAAGCTATGCTCCTCCGTCGGTGCTCTTTGTCATTGGTTAACCACTTTCGCTAATAGTAGGTCTGTCTCACTAGTGGCTGGCATCTTTTATTACCAACAGTTTTAGATTAGGTACTTCTTTTGCGCGTGAATACGCTGCCCCGAGGCCTATGTTTAGGTTGGACAAAATGAAGCTACGTCACTGTACGCGGGCACCGCAGCTTACCTCGGGGCGTCTGGTTGGCATCAACAATGCTCGAGTCACAGAGAGCCTGCGAAACATTCCATGAATTATTTTTCGGGGCGCGACACAATACAGTCATGATTTAGGAATGTTTATGCTCCTAGCTAATGGCCTTGTTTATATAGACAGAGATTTTGCATTGCAGTCGATAGTCTGGAGACGACTGCGACTCCTTTATACCCTTAATGGCCGCCAAGATCAATTTTCTCCCGGCAACTCCATAAGCTTGGCGCACGCTCTTCGCTTCTTTCCGTGTGGTTTAGCCGCGCAACATGCGACCTGCATTTAAGAGGCCTTTGCATTTGCCTCTTAAATGCAGGTCGCATGTTGCGCGGCTAAACCACACGGAAAGAAGCGAAGAGCGTGCGCCAAGCTTATGGAGTTGCCGGGAGAAAATTGATCTTGGCGGCCATTAAGGGTATAAAGGAGTCGCAGTCGTCTCCAGACTATCGACTGCAATGCAAAATCTCTGTCTATATAAACAAGGCCATTAGCTAGGAGCATAAACATTCCTAAATCATGACTGTATTGTGTCGCGCCCCGAAAAATAATTCATGGAATGTTTCGCAGGCTCTCTGTGACTCGAGCATTGTTGATGCCAACCAGACGCCCCGAGGTAAGCTGCGGTGCCGCGTACAGTGACGTAGCTTCATTTTGTCCAACCTAAACATAGGCCTCGGGGCAGCGTATTCACGCGCAAAAGAAGTACATAATCTAAAACTGTTGGTAATAAAGATGCCAGCCACTAGTGAGACAGACCTACTATTAGCGAAAGTGGTTAACCAATGACAAAGAGCACCGACGGAGGAGCATAGCTTTTGGATTTCAGAAAGCTTTTCGCTTGGAACTAGTGATAGGCAAGTCAGCCACCCTATAATACAGTGTCAGCCATCACTCTTTTAGCTGGCATTCGCTCTTAGCCACAAACAGCTTAAGCGTGGGTTGATGGTAGAAGACATTTGCAACAATGCTAATGTATTTATTACGACTACAAGCAGACAGTAATACACAGAGAACCACAATCTTCATTGTATCGTGTATCGAAACTGCCGTTGTAATATTCTGACCCACTTAGTGACACCCTAAGTATATACGCATGGGCATGAGTGCTAAAGGAGTCAGGAATAGCGAGCAGCAAATCGCTGATGCTAGTATACTCTGACTCTGCGCATTTGTCCTGCCACGTAATAGCAACCCTACCAGTGAAGGTGCCTATTAGGTTTTGCAAGTGATTTGCTTTGTATCGACGACATACTTGAAAAAGGATATGTTGATAAGGGCGAGCGGATGGCGCTTGCAGAGTCGTTTGGCAGCACTTTCGTTCATGGAAGACACCTGGAAGCACACTGAATTGGAGCAGTGGCGTTTTGTCGACGAGGAAGCCGATGTAGACACCGAAGCAGTGGATGCCGTCGGGGTGTCGTACTTGGGCTCTGCACGCGTTGGAAAGATCCGAGGTTACGCACAGAAGATCCAACACAGATAGTGCGCAGCTAGCGCATGAGGAACTGAAAAACATCGTCTTCATAAGGTAACAGAATCGTGCTAAAACTTGCTGCGCTGCGCCAATGGGACATGGCTGCGCTAGGCTTCAGTGAGAAAATTCATAATATTTTTTAAGAAAGAGCTTTCTGCCCTGGAGGATTAGAATTGCGGTCTAAAATAAGGGTCACATTATTATGTACATAATGATTGACTGTGGAATGACATATGCACTAAACTTGACGGCTGGCGGGAGTGTTGTTCTACAGTTAGACACTGGGTCGTGGCCCACGATTAAGACGCACAGCTTCCCAACTCTAAACTACGTTGACTAATGAGTAGCTGGTACATTTAAACTGTAGATGTGCCTAGCAGAGCTTTTTTGGGCACTCGGCGACTCTAAAGTCAGCTATCACATCACTCACGTGACAGTTTTTTGGTGATCTATTTTTTTTTCATTTCATTTAAAGCATGAGTTACGAGTCAACACTCGTCCCATCGTTTCTGCTTCTAGCATTCTTCTGTCTTTTTCTCTTGGTGTGCTGACTAAGCTGATTATATATATAGTAAATGTTTCACAATTGTACACCCGTTAATGCAGAATATCGTATAATTCAGTCATATTTGGCCGTAACCCGTTTAATTCGAACGATCTTCGGAGCACGCCAAGTGCACCGCGCCTCAAGCGTGCGACGCAAAGGAACGAAAAACGGCCGCAGGATTTATAAAAGATGGGGTCACCGCTCACAAAAACGCGTGGTGGGTTCGTAATAAGGCATGATTTTAGAGCCCATTTTTAAAGACACGGTGGCCTTGTCATGAGTTGTGGTCACATTGTGAAGTCGCAAAATACGAATATTGTGGCTTACACTGCTCTTTTTTTTTTTTTTGCAAATTAAGTGCTGGATTTCCGTATTTCTCAAGAAAATAAAAGTGCATTATTGTAATAGACGCATCTTTATGATTTCCTTTATATTTCCGGTGATTCGGCAGTCACCTAACTCGCAGAGTATTTCCGGTGGCATGAAATCTGAATTAACGACCATAAATATTATCGAGGTCTAGGCTAGAAAATGGTCTGCACTGGTGTCGATGTGAGTTGCGTATGATCAGTCTATGCTACGTCCACTGTAGGAGAGAAAGCCTCTCTCAATAATCTCCAACCCAGGCTGTCCTGGGCGAGTTCATCCTATTTTATGCCACCGCTTCACCTGACCCTTTGCAATGTTTGGTCGCGTTTCCCATGTCCTGCTATCCATTCCATCGCAATAAGTGATCATCGGCTATCTGTCCTTCTATGACGTGATGCTTTGCGTGACGCGATTTTTTTCCCCTTATGTAAGGCGACGGACGTACGAGAGATATGAAAGCCTCTGAAGCTAATGATCGGATTACTTGGAAGACTAGAACGCCTCTCACAAAGCATTTTCTTCCTAAAAAGAAGTATTATAGTTTTTTTTTACCAGCAAAAGAGGTCCATCATACTTCGTTTTAGGAAGAAATTTTGTTGTGAGAGGCGTTCTAGTCTTCCAAGTAATCCGATCATTAGCTTCAGAGGCTTTCATATCTCTCCTACACATGTCGCCTTACATAAGGAGAAAAAGAAAGTCCCTCTGCCTGTGTCAGCCTTTCAGTTGACCTCGCAATTTCCATCGTTTTCAACCTGCATGCAACAAGGTACCCCGGCTCTAACCATGATGATTCGTTCAGAGATACGCTGCAAAGGTAACGCAAAGGAACTAGCAATGAGAACAAGCGCTAGGCTGAGGCTTAATGAAGCGTCTCTGCACGACATCTCTATTTGCGATGCCAGCACGCGCAGTGAAGCAGTCTCACGTGGCGTCATAAACGTCCACGTGTCAAGAGCCGCGCGGCGAGGGAAAGAAAGACAGCACCCACCTGATGTTTGCAGAGGCGTGTTGGCGCCCAGCGGCGATCCGGCCGAAGCGAGCACGTTCTTTTTGCTGCTCACTTTCTTCACTTTCACGGAGTTAGTCGGCGACGGGCAGGTGACAAAACCTGCGCCGCCAGAGCAGTGGCTCAGCATGGAGAACTTTTACAGTTCGCAACTGCCACACGCACAAAAGAAAAAAAAAACATCCGCGTCTGAATAATGTTATTCGATAGTTATGGAGGCGATTGCACATAACGTTTTCTTTTGTTTCATCAATCAGTGAATGTAGGGTAGATATAGTACGCGCATTTCTTTCTTCATTACGTGCACGAGAAGATGGCTTTGAGTGAAACGTCTTCGCTTGCTTTCACGAAACGACTCTTCCACCTGGAGTAGAATCTCCAATCAATAACGATAGCGCACCTTCTGCTACCGAAGGAGACCGACGTATTTTAAAACACATTTACGCTAGAAAACGTCAAGGAATCGCTTTCATTTTCTTCTGCTAAACTTGGGCAGCGGAAAAACCAGATGTTGCAGCATATAAATAAAAAAATGAAATATACTCATGGACCCGCCACGGCGGATTAGTGGTTACAGTGATCAACCCAAAGATCGTGGGATCGAATCCCGGCTGTAGTAAATTCTTTGTCGATGGAAGCAACCATGCTTGAGACCCGAGTATTTAGATTTAGGTGCACGTTGAAGAACCCCCCGTTGTCAAAATTGATTGATGGATTTGTGGGGTTTAACATCCCGAAAACACTATATGATTATGAGAGACGCCGTAGGAGAGGGCTCCGGAAATTTCAACCACCTGTGGTTTTTTAACGTGCACCCAAATCTAAGTACACGGGCCTACGAAATTTCCGCCTCCATTGGAAATGCAGCCGCCGCAGCCGGGATTCGATCCCGCGACCTGCGGGTCAGCAGCGGAGTACCTAAGCCACTAGACCACCGTGGCGGGGCAGGTTGTCAAAATTTATGGAGGCCTCCACTATATATACGGTTATTGTCATAATCATATCGTGGTTTTGTCACGTTAAATACAAAAATAATATGATTAACATTATAAGTACATTCATGGCCTCAGCAGCTGACTGAACAGCAACTGATAACTCCAAATGAAGAATTTTATGGAATGCGACCACTTGGGTTGCATACCGCTAGGTCAACTGCACTTCAGCCGATGATATGACGAGACAGTGCGGTAAGTGTAGCTGTTAGCGTGTGCTATGCTAGACTGGCTACCGATAGTGGACTTAGCAGAGCGTTGAGTCAGAGAGGATGTTCATGCAGCCTCAGATAGCTTTATATATCAAAGCTGTGAAATTTACTGCGATGAACTGCAGCGTGGCTTAGGCTGGTGATGGTGCACGCCTTATTTCGAAGTGAGAAAAGATTCTCGCGATGCTCTCATCGTAGAAGGTATAAAAACACCCTGCTACTTCACCTGAAGGTTATCCTGGCTACGGTCGGCTATCTGCGTGACCAGGGGAAAGGGGGGGGTGATAGAGCATCGAACGCGTAATTCGAAGGTCGCAGGTTGGGTCCCTCTCCACGGCAAGTTCTTTCATCCACTTATTTTTTTTTTTCACATTTACCAGGAATAACATCCTCTATACTTTTCTTGACAGTGTTGCCTGCTAAATTTAAATAACGAGCCCTTAAAATTTTCTTTTTCATTCCTGCTTTCGAAAAGAGTATATCATTAGCGGCGGTGGTCATCCCACAACTAGCAACAATCAGTGATCAACTGCTACAACAGCTTTTTAAAATTAATTGCTGTGGTTGCAGCACACGATTCGAGAGCGATTTCTGTTCCAGCGATGTAGGCCCAGTAGCGCTGTATAAATATCTCTCCCCATACTTGCAGAGAAGTACCTTGGCGTATCGCTTATATTCGTAAAGCTCTCCTTACACGCTGCTATGAGCGTTTTGCTTAACCTTGATACCTGTAATAAGGTGTTGCTTTATTTTTACACTGAAAATTCCCATATGACTTATGGCTAATATTGCATGACCTGCATGCTCACAAGTAGGCACAGGGTTCCCCATTATGCGGGTAAGGGAGGCAGAGCTTTATCGCAGAGCCCCCCTCCCATATTGGTCAAATGTAAACAGTTCTTGGAATGTAACATCAGGGGCCTTCGGCCCCCTTTAGCGTCAGAAGCCTGTCTGGCCATAATTGAGTAAACGTATGTGGCAGACTTTGCGCCCCACTTCCTTGGTGACCAGGGAGTGGAAGTGGCTACTCCTCTCATGACCACGCCTATGTGCGTGTTGGAGCTGTGCTAGACGAGGACAGTTTCCAGGGTAGGCTGGATGATTACAGAATTAGAGGGATTAAACGCGGTGGTGGGAACGCATGAAAGAGCGTAATTCATCAACGCTCGTTCCTTTTCGTTAGACACAAACTAATAAAACCAACAGACAATGAAGCCAAGGAAGGCACAAGAAACATTAGTTGTCATTTGTAGCTGTAGTGACATATGAAAAGTGGACGAAAAAAAAAAGCTTCCCTTGATGGGGACCAAACCCAAAACTTCGAATAACACTTCCGATGCTCTACTAATGGACTTCAACGACGGTAGTTTTCTTGTTTAATTTAATGGAATTGAACGAGTATTTTTTGCATGTGTAATTCTAAGAGTGTCACCTGGCGCAACTTGTATACGTAGCGCCAAGTGTGTAACACTTTTTTTGCCAGCTGGCATTCCGTAGAACGTGGTATGTTTACGAGATGCGGTCTAACCAATAACCCCCGGCATAAAAATGAAATTATTCAAAGAAAAGCATCGCAACTGTACTAACTAAATGCACTTCTGAAAGAAGCAATGCCTTAGCACATCCCACATGCCACTTTAGCCACGTGTTTGCAACGCGTGTCCGACGTTTAGGTGTGTCACAGTCGAAGGACAATGCCCCCATATTTCGGCTGACAACGCACCTCTGAACTTGATGGCCTGGCAGTAGGTGACCAGGTCGGAGAGCTCGGGCGCTATCTGGGAGCTGGACTTTCGCTGCTTGTAGCCGTCATCGTCGCTGTGGATGTGTTCGGCGTCGGCCGGGTTGCGCGACCGAGGGTGCGCCGCGCCGGGGCTCAGCGTGCCCGGGTGACGCGTGGCGTGCGCTTCCTTGCACGAGCCCTCCTGGCTCGATAAGGACTCTGCACGAGCGCGTACGCACTCAGAAACCAGCCCGCGACAGCTTTTCTCGAGCGGTAGGTGCTACGAAACTGACATCCCCGGGCATTCACCCACAAAATCATGCACTTCTAGAGCAAACCAAACTTCTAACACCTTCAAGCTCTACTTCATGTTCTGTCGCGCACGCAGTCTGACTACAAAGTCTGAGTGATTAAGATTCCACAACAAAAACAACAACTTTAAAAAATATTTATATTGTCATGCAAGGTGCATAGCTTAATACTGTCGAAGGTAACGGTTTATGCGCCAAATCGATTAAGATCACCATCAGAAAATAAGTCCAGCATTTGTGCATTTTGCCTCACAAAATTCTACATTACTCGTGCTGGCAGGGCTTCTCAATCATATACAGTATAAGTTTTCAATCAGTCTGCAAGGAGACTTAGATATCGACAAATACACCTCAATTGGTTCCTAAAATATTTTCCATCGCGAAATATAATGTAGTGACGAAAGTAAGAAGGCGGACCCAATACACGATATACGCATCGCTCTTCGACTAGAAGGCCGCAGAAGTCACGTGCGGACGCTCCAATGGCTCACCTTCTAAATTATCATCCTCTTCATCGTAGTCCTCAAAATCTTCTTCATCCTCGTCATTGAGAGACCCTATGCTCGCCGTAGAGATGATGCTGTTCGTCCGGCCGGGCGCAATCTTTCCTTGTGGGACCCCCTGAGCATGAATACGAAAAGCGAGGTGCTCAATGTTTCGCCAATAACGTTAGGGTTAAACCAAAGACATTAGTCAGCAACGCTACGCAGCTATACGTGTGAAATCACGAAGCCCCTCTCCTCGTACGTAAAAACCGTTTAAATACATTGACGTACATAAATAGCGAAATGCAACGAGCCGATAAGAAACGCGTCTGCGTATAAAAAGCATTCCTCACGAACGACAAATGTTCTGTATAAGTGACTCTATGTGTTGGCGGATTCTGAAGAATGCTGTGTACAGCCGCCGCCACGTCTGTTCAAAGTGCGCGAGCGACCACCCTTGCTCTGCGGCGGGACACCTTGCGGCCGTTGCGAGTTGTGACGTCGCGTGCACAGGAGCATGCGTGACCTTACAGACATGCAGGCATGCCTCGCATGGATGACAGCGGTAGAAGATGTGCTCCTTCAGTCGAAGATCTGTGCTGCTTCAGGTCGCTTTAAAACGAAGCGCGTTTCGACTGATAAATTGAGCCTGCATCAACGATGTACGCTCAGTTGTGGCTGCTTGGAGGCATGTGATTATATGAAGACATGATAATGCAACAGCCACGTGACAAAATACCAGACGGCCAGAAAATAAAACCGGCCGCAAGGAGCGCATATTTTATGAAGGCGTGTGTTATCAGACGAAACGCGCTTCGTTTTACAAAATAGATATGACGAAAGCGCCCTGAGTGAGCGCGGGTATTTGGTTAAACAAGCACACCTCCTAACGTTGTCACCCGTGCAGAGCAGAGCTGAATGTTTGCAAGGCCGCGCATGCTCCTGTGCACACGACGTCACAACGCGCAACGGCCGCAAGGTGTCGCACCGCAGAGCAAAGCCGGCAGCTTGCGCGCTATAGACAGAGACGTGGCTGCGGATGTACAATCACATATACGCACCCTAAAGAGGCCCTTTTAGAGATAACCATCAACTTCATTTTAGAGTGCTTTACACTCTATTCGGAGAGTCATGGGAAAAGCGACTCTCCTAGAGAGAGCCAGCGTGTTTCATATATGTGGCAAGTCAGGAGTCACCAAACCGAGCAAGAAGTAATCTTTCTTTTTTTAACACGAAATGGTTTTATTCTATGATCTACGAAGACTTCAGGGACGTATTTCCGTGACGGAAATGACGTCCAAACATAGACACGATCAGATGGAAAAACGTTTCGTCAAAGGGAGTCAAACCGACGACCACTCAGTCCGCGACAGCAGGTGCCGGGAACGCTATGCACTGTGCCACTGTCACTCGTTCTGGAGCCTTTAAAAACGTGCTTTTTATATGTAACACTTTTCTGTCAGGGTGCTCTTGGTCGGTGGCGTGGTGCTGGTCCCTAGGAGTGGAAAATGTGAAGTATTGTGTAAGTATCGTAGCCTCAGTGATTAGGTCCTGCAACGCATTGCTGCTAAGCATCCCTCCCGTTCGACGCGCTTCGAATAGAAGTGTAGTTTGTTCAACGCCTTAACCACTCACGAGGTGATGACTTCAGCCAAAGCTTCAACCTCACTCATGGCATTCATGAATATTAAAAAAAATTGCCCCGTATCTGCATGTTCGACGGCATATGTCGTCGAAAGACGATAATCTTCCGTTTGGGGAGAGTCAATAGACTAAAGCATTTATTTGATGTTTTTCGCGAGAAAGTTGGTGAATGAGACTCTGGACGCACTGCGTCAGACATGAGCGGCATCTGGCCGTAATTTAAGAAAAAAGGATGACCTCCGTTATATCGAGCACGCACAATCTTGGAGGCCGTATTTTGTAGATTTCAAAGTGGGTGGCCACACTGTATTGTCTTAGCAAAGCGTAGGAAACTCGCCTTTTCGTGCTTAGCGTCGCATTGTCAGCGCAGCGTAATAAACTCCACAGTTCCTAAAATTACTTATGTATGTATTTTCTCGTATAAAGGAAGACACCACAGGATATTGACGTTTTGATGTTGTGTCTTAGATATGCGCAATATTTGTTTTTCAATCGACAATCACACAAGAATGATGCAGGAACCTGAGCAATATTGGTGGGCGCTGGGAAGTTGGTCGTACTTTAGCCGCATCGGTTCACAAACAGATAGAAAAACAGGCAGACGAAAATTTTCGCTTAGAAGTATCTTAAGAAAGATTAAAATAGCTTTGCAACGAGAGCATGGATAGAATGGCTGTTATGCCGCCTTCCCCGCTTACGCTCGATTCGAGAAAAATTGCGACCGAGCTACAGGGTATGGACACAACGCGCACTGCGTTTCAGCATACCGCAGGATGACGTCCTCAGTCGAGGGTCTGCGTTTACTCATGCAGCGACGCTCTTCTGGCTGTAACGACGCTTTGTACCATTGCGCTTTTCACCAGGAACTACTACAGCTACCAAAAGTGTTTCTTTAATCACTGATCGTGGATATTAGTCGTAGGGATAGAGATGTGCTACCAAGCATCAACGTGAGTGCATCAACGTTAAACGGTGCTGCCAGACACCAGACATTCTGCAAGCTCTTATATTAGTGTGCAGTAAACACTCATCTAGTTGTGTGAAGACACGCTTTACTTTCGTGTTACACCAATTCATACGAGGAGGTTATTTTTTTTATAGAGCTTTTTGAGAACAAGGATTGCCTATAAATAACTGTTCTTGAAGGAACTTTTATCTCTGAAAGAAAAAAGCTCTGTTAATTTGAAAGGCAGTGTAATCTTTTTTTACAAAACCCCAGCCTTGACCTTGACGTATCTGACGATTTTGAAAAAAGCTTTGCATTCTTAATCTGCATTCACAAAACTTTTTGTATAAACGTGTGGTACGCATGATTGACGGTTGTCGTGTCAACTGTCTTTTACTACGCCGATCGCAAATACGACTGACGTTTGAATGCATTCAAACAAATAAACGTTCATATTGAAGACGAGTATACCATGAATACAGACCCTGATTTCTTCAAAGGGTACAGTGAAACACACAGGCACGCAAGCTGAGCTTTTATGGAGTGGTGCCCCATATCTCGGCATGCACTGAAGGTAAAACAAAACTGTAAAACAGAGCAGAACTTGTTGACTAAGACAGACGTATCTGCTCGACGTCGTGACTATCCGAATACCAATCTTTCGTGACCGATGAAGATTTGAAGTTCAAAAAAAGACGAACGTCAAGGTGGCACGCGTACCTTCGTGGTCCTGAGGGGCAGCGCTGGCGTCAGTGGCGGCCGGAGTTTCTTGTTCTTTATGAGCACCTTGTAACGCAGCTGGTTCGGTGACGGCAGGCGGGCCTCATCGCAGACGTCGTTTGAAAATAGAAACTGTGTTTGAAGTCTGTCCCCGAACACGTTCTGCAAAATATGGGCAACAAACGACGGGCCGACTCTCAGCAACGCAACAGAAATCACAAACGCATATATATATATATATATATATATATATATATATATATATATATATATATATATATATATATATATATATATATATATATATATATATATATAAGGAGACATATTACTAGGCTCAATTTCCGGCCCACATTTCACAGAACTCAACAATGATAAAAAATTAAGACTGCAGGCTAAGATCGACCTAATTAAGCTAAACTTGAGTTCGAAAGTTTGTCTACAAACAATGAAATGCTCAGAAGCTTATTCACAATGTTCACGTAATTAACTGTAAAAAAATCACAACCTCGAAAAAAATTTATCAGGCGACAAGTAATAGGCACGGAACTACGTAGAAAAAAATCGTTCACAAGTACGCATAAACACGCGCATTTTGATTTATACGTGGGGTTTAACGCCATAAAATCACCGTATGATTATGAGAGACGCCGTAGTGGAGGACTCCAGAAATTTTAACCACTTGGGGTTATTTAACGTGCACACAAATCTGAGCACAGGCGCCTCAGGCATTTTCGCTTCCATCGAAAATGAAGCCGCCGCAGCAGGGATTCGATCCCGTGACCTGCGGGTCAGCAGCCGATTACCTTAGCCAGTAGACCAACGTGGTGGGGCAAACACGCCCACATTAAAAAAAATGCTTGCGGAATTGATGAAACATTTTCCATCGCCAGCGACCATAATATCGCCTGCATGCTACTTACATACCAACACTCTTTTACACTGTACTGCGATAGCATGTAGAAGATCGTTTCAATAATAAAATCCATAAAAGTTGGTTTCTTGCAGAGGCGAGTGAAACTTGAAGAAACATAACGTTAGGACCATTTGTGAGGAACCACATTGAAGGAATATGCAAGTGGGAAACGTGAAACATTGCTCACCGTAAAAATCTGGGCCATCTTGGCCTGCTGCGGAAGGGAGCAGTGGTTCTCGATGGACAAAATGATAGGAAAAGGTGAAGTGGCGAACGAGCTCTTGTGAATCGCCTCCACAACGCTCTGTAAAAACAGCGTTGCATATTGCGCTTAAAAAAGAAAAGTGACTAAGCAAGTCAACAAATATACTCATGCACGTGAAAAAAAGTGGAGACGAAAATATGAGGCGAAAATCGTCGCTTATCAAATTCATTTCCCTAAAGCTGAGCGTACCAATAAATGCACCAATGAAGCGGCCATGCCTACCTTAAATGGAATTTTCGAAGTAAGAGTGTGGCCATGATAGATGACAGGTATTCCATCGTCACCGTCCCAGCAGTCTAGCTCTACGCATCGGCAACCTCGTAGTAGTACCTGCAGAAAAGCGAGATTGACGCTCTATAAGATCGTGCAGTCGTCTGTTTTGAAACTGTGTTCTTCACTACGACTTAATACACTATTCTTCAAGTATTTACTTTTTAATTAGTTTGCATTCTGATACATATTGCCACCTTTTCACTTACTCAGGTCATGCATTAGAGGCATCAGAAGCGATCATAATTAACACGACGACGGAGAAGCGTATAGCGTTAGCGTAATTAGAAGGGAATGCAGTTATTTGTGAGAATGTAAAATGCAAAAAGTTTTCGAGGATGACTACACCGTTAAAATCGGCGCGAAAAGTATTAAAAACGGATGATGAACTCTTAATGCTAAGAAAGCGCTCAAGAGGCCGATAACCGCCGCAGAACCGGGACCCGGAAGTGACGGTGGGAGGCATCGTAATTCCTCGGGTTTCAACGCTGCGCATTCTCGAACTGCTTATTCAAAAGGATGAGGCCGGAGGAGCAGAGTTATAAAAGGTGCAGAAAACCGTGCAACACGCCAGTCACCTGATAAAATAGGTGACAAGCAAAAGCCACAGACTGAAAGAAGACTGCACGAAAATGATCCAGGTGTTAGTCACAAGCCTAATCACGTACGGGACCGCAAATGCAGATATGAAGAAAAGCCAGAGGATTAAACTTAACACTCTTATCAGAAAAGTCCACAATATTGGCATGGGCTTTTAACATCCACGGAAAAGTTGCTCGAAATTGGATTGCACAACACATGGGAAGAGCTCACGGAAGCACACCATGTCAACCAGCTGGAGAGCCTGCAGCTGACGAATACGGGTAGAGCCCTACTCTAAGATTTGGGCTACCGCATCGAGGATGACATGTACATCTTTCAGCGTATTCTGTACTAAATCAGAAATAAATTACATATAAGCAATATACCAAGCAAAATGCATCCCGAATACGACAAAGGAAGAAAAGCCAGGACAAAACTGCTCAAGCAGATACTACAACGCACCAACAGCAATAAAAAAGATGTGAGATACACGAACGCAGCGGTTTACCTTACAAATGACCGTTTTACTAGAAGCGTAGTCGACGAAAGCGGCAAAAAATTGAGAGCAGCATCCATACGTGCAAAGGACGCGAGTACAGCGGAAGAGCTGGGCATAGACCTGGCCGTCGCTACGTGCATGAAGACGCGGGTTACCGTGATAACAGATTCGCAAAAGGCGTGCAGAAGATACACGAACGGAAGGATCGGAGAGGCAGCACTACATCTCTTTAAAAGCACCAAGATAGACGAAACAACCATCCTTTGGACACGGCGCGGGACATGAGTCACTCGCGGGGAACCAGGCGGCGCGCGCCGCGGCTTGAGATCATGCACGCCGAGCCATCTCCGACACTCTGGGAAGACGTACCGATGGCTGTCACGACGAGCATGAGCGCATAGCGAAGAAGTACGCAGACATTTTGACACACTACAGGAAGCAGAGGAAGTAGTATTCGCCGGCAAACACGAGTGAGTAGGGAACAAGCAGGGATATGGAGGAGACCATACAAGCCGGAACTTGCCCACACGGAACATTGATGCACGCAATGTATCCATGGATCTTCAGGCGGGACTGCAAACTTTGCCCTCGAGACACCGCAACACTCTGCGCCACATGGTGCTGGAGTGTCGCAACAATTCGGACATAACACTGTCGTCACCACCAAGTGCAAACGCAAACGAAGAGAATAAAACGTATCGAGTGAAAGTATTCGAAGACCAGTGGGATGCTATTCTGGTGACGAAATACCCTGACAAGCAGCTACGATTGGTGAAAGGGGCTCAGGCGGTGGCAGCGAGCCATGTATACCTGGACTGAGGAGGCCACTCACCTTCAAGCTGTAGTACAAAGAGCCTCGCTCAAATAAAGTTCATTCAATTCCTTCAAAGACTTGTTCCTAGCGTTTGAGGGCTTAACTGACAGCGCGTTAACACAGTAAAGAGAACAGGAAATGAGATCTTCACAGCAAAAAGTACTTACCTCGCTGTACAGCTCCACGGATGACTCTCCTTTGAGCTGGTGGCCGGTCAAGTAGGTGTTGTGAGACGAAGCGATGTAGTAGTGAGAAAGGGGCTTGTCCATGTTCTGCATATAAACACATTTACTTTGTATTTATGTTGCCCTCACGGTGATTTCACATTAAGAGAAAAGAACGCTAACTTACAATAAAAATGGGAACAGATATAGCCGAGCTATCAAGACATAACAAAAACAAATCAGACTAAACAATGTCAGTTGTGATTGACATACAACAAAACAATACGTTTCTGAGAAGCTCTTTGGTCGACGTTGCGACAACACACGGTGACGGGGGTAACGAAGTCTGTGATGAAGGCGCTTCCCTTACTTCAATAACGTCGGCGTAAACTCGTCGTCGAGGACTTTGCGTCACCTCGTGGGCAACGTGTAAGCAATTTTCTGTGGTGCCGCCGGATCTAACAAAAGCCTGCACGACCTTGGCTGGTGTATTGGGACTATGGCTGGATTTTTCCGGCAGACCCATGGCATCATTGTAAAAGAACGACTCAAGGAGTCTCGGTGAATTCCGAGGAGAGAACCAACGAGCAAAAAAATACAGGGATACAGAAAGATAAATGTAGACTTGAGTATAGTTGGCAAAAGTCTTCAATTATATGGCTTTTTGCTCACCCCCGCTGCGCAATTAACGCCCTCCCTCCACATCCATGTTGGACAAATGAGCTTGCCTTCTTTTGCTTTATCCAACACAAAAATTACCCGCCTTATGATCCTATTGAAAATACTATACTCCTTCAGTTTGCTCGATATTACCAATTACTCTTCCCACGATCTTTGTTTAAAATAAAGAGATATTGTATAGTTTCACATGCCAAAACCTTGATGCTTGCAGATAAGAATGAACAGCAGGTCCTCGTCACAGGCATGCGCAGGGCTTTAAATTACAAAAGGTGGGGTGGGGGACAAATGTCACAGTGGCGTGTTTTCTTTCACTCCACTACGTAGTCTCTCAAGATCATATTTTGCGGTTTTGGAACTCAATGAACTTACGTTCACCCCAATAAATATCTTGACCTTCGTAAGCCTCACTGCTTTTGGCTCTTCGCCGTCACAACTACGTGACAATTATACACAGATAGCACTCCACAGCATGTATAACTTCCGATAATACTCACTTCTCTTCTGTAAAGCGAGCGCTCCTCACCGCATGCGGACGCACAACTAAACTTACATGAGCACATCAGAGTTAATTCATATTTAAAAAGCTTATTTTAAGATTAGTGCTTAGAAAAAAAAACGTTAACGATTCTTAGTAATTGTACTCTGCTGTGGAATATTGATAAATTGTTCGACCAAGCCACGAGAATGGAAACACAGGAACATTTTTCAAGCATTAGTAAAGGTTAAAGAAAGCTATAGCTTTTAATTAAGGTATTTCTCAAGCAAAAGCACTGATGGTGTACGGGACGTTTCCAGAGAATCGACAGCAAGTGCCGGCGCGTTACGGGGCCCTTGGTTAAACATTAGCTGTCGTGGCACAGTGCCCGACGACCAATCATCACACCTTTAGCTTCAGAAAATGCACAAAGAGACGACCGCTGAGTCGGACAGTTTTTGTAAGAAGCCATATGCTCTATGAATGGTGGCGATGTGCCTGGTCGAAAAATCTTGGAAGAGTTATTCATAAACAAGAGAGATATAATAATTTTTATTCAAAGGCGCTTTGAATACATTTATTGCTGTTTATTAATTGCTCGGAATGTGCACGAAATGTGTACATATCTCACGCAAATATTTGCACAAGTGACAAGAACTGTGGCGGTCGTTTTTTTATACGATGTATGATAAATAAGTGCCGATAACAAATAAAGTTTTACTCAGCTATTTAGGTCTGTTTCAGTTGCTGAAATGGTGTTTAAAGATTGAAAACGAAACGAGCATGACCAGTTGGAAACGTTACAGTGTGCAATCTGTGCACGCAATAACGTCTTCAAGTGCACTCGGTAACAATGTCTGCCATAACATTTGAAATAAATGTATATGATTCCTTTTCCAGACGATCCAAGGCTTATGAAAGCATCAGTGACACTACAAAAAGACATAGACAAATGGGCGGAGCGGGCGTAACACTGAACAGCCAGCTGCGGCCCGGAGCCAGGACTTCGCCGACGACTCTGTATCGTGTTCATATTACTTGGTATTCCTGCTGCTGGTACATAGTTTATCTCTTTTCCCCTTCCTTCTCTCGACCCAATTCCCCATCAGTAGGGTAGCAAACCATATGTGTATCTGCTTGACTTTTCAGCCTTCAGATTGTGCTGCTCCTCTTTCACAAGTATTTGTGAAGGTGGAGGAGAGACACCGACCATAAGAACGAAGGTCAATTACTCACCGTGTTCGCACCAGGCGGGATTATTTCTGGCACAAAGGCGTAGTTGTCTTTGTCCAGCAGATATCTTGCAAAGCCTTCGAAAGACAGAAGGTTCTTTTCTCTGAGGACATTATCAGGCTCATGTCGCTAGAGTAATAAGAAAAAGAAGGACAAAAGAAACCAATAAAGCATTAGTCAAGAAAAAGCTGACAGATTCGAGCATCGAACATACTGCAACAACTTATGAGGAAGTAGATGCGTTCACTGACACTAAAGAGGCAAGCGGTGAGATACGGCTCTTGCCTACTTAGTGTGAACAAGGAACCCGTATGGGTTTCGAAACGTCAGTGTTTTTTCACCTTGACTTCGTCAGTGAGCGCATCTATATGCCCATCGTGATACCTGGCCAGGCGAACTTTCGTCGAACTCTTGACTATGTAACGACTTATGTCTTACTTAAGTTCAAGGGACACTGCCAGAGATCGTGATTTCTCAAGGTTGCGTTCAAGTTGGAATTACCTGAATAAGTCTGATAACCTCTTTCTCAGCCAATTCTTCCTTCTGACGAGTCGCCAAGAACTTCTTGAAATCGGCACACTCCAAGACGAGCCTTTTTGAGCTGTCAACCCCGGCGCAGTTGGACACAATGCTGGCGGTGGCAATCGCATCACAAATCTTTTTCTGTTCAGGGTCCACATACTCGTACTTGCTAGTTCGTGTCAGCAGCCCTAGAAAGTGCGACATGACATTTGAGAGGGAGCTCGATCGGCGTTAATAAAAGAATAAAAGCTTTCCACAAAGTCAGGGCATGATTCACACTTTTATGGTCTTCTTCAGACGTGTTTCTGGTACTTCGCGCCACAAAGACCGTACGGAAAACTACTATGCATGACTGGTGCAATGCTTCGTGCTTTATTCACCGATATACTTGCAAACACACAGCCTTTCCATAAAAATAATCAGCCCCTGAAATGGCCTTTCCCCCTTCCCTGGACGCGAACCAAAGTATTCTGAAACTCAATAATGTTTTGCGAGTAAACTTGATAAAATAATGGACAGGAATATTCCAAGGCCTTGCTGAAGGCCTTCTGAAATAACGTTATGTTTAGCTAGATGCTATGATGAACCATTACACTTTATTTAGCCACGCGAAGTGACGCCAAACGGAATGATGAGTTCCGTGCAGCATTGATTGATGATTGATTGATCTGTGGCGTTTAACGTCCCAAAACCACCATATGATAATGAGAGACGCCATAGTGGAGGGTTCCGGAAATTTCGACCACCCGGGGTTCGTTACGTGCACCCAAATCTGTGTACACGGGCCTACAACATTTCCGCCTTCATCAGAAATGCAGCCGCCGCAGCCGGGATTCAATCCCGCGACCTGCGGGTCAGCAGCCGAGTACCTTAGCCACTAGACCACCACGGCGGGGCATTCCGTGTAGCATCATACAAGCTGTAGTAGAGGAGGGAGGTTTTTTATTTTGTAAAATATAGTCGGTAGCTGAAAATAAGGCTAATAGGTCGCCATTATACAAGCACTAATTCCGGCGAGAAATAACAAGATCACGTGATTGGCTTTTTCTTTCGTGTTGCTTAAGTCCCATGACCTCATTAAGTAATTCAAACTAAAATTTTTCGTGAAAGCAAAGTGCAACCCAATATGCTGGACGTAGTATATAAGTGAGCAGCGGTCTGCCTACAGCAAGCCGATCTGTACGCGCGAAAAATTTAGTAAATTCAGCTTCTCCACTTAATTGAGAAATAAAATTCACAGCTTTGTCGTAAAGGCGGAGCAATGAACGCGATAGCAACAAATTGAGAGGTCACGCACAGAATGGAAAGCCGATCGAAACGTGCCCCGAGTTTCTCACACACAAATGACGCACGAAACGTACTCACAGGTACATATGAACGCAAACAAGCGTCTCAGTTGTTACTTCACCGTATCTGAAAAGTGCACCCTTTTCACAAACGGAGACTGTGCGACGAGTGCAGTGTATATTGTGCGCCAGGTGACCACAACAGAATTGTTCCGGTGAAAGCCCAAGGCGCATGATTGTCCCCATCGCGAGATCAGTAAGCGCACACGTGAGCGTCTACCCTGCCTTCTCTCCGCGGAGCAAAGTAAGCGTGGGAGATGAGAGCGTGCGCCGCCGCGTCGTGACGATGTGGCGACGCGCTCTCATTGCGCCGTCTCGCTGGCAATGCTGAAAACACGATAGTTACCCCCGAGATGCCCATCACCAGTAGTAAGTGGTAGATATAAATAGCATGCCGTTTGAACATTGAAGGGGGTGTTCCTTCCTGGCTCAGTGGCTTGCGCCTTGCACTCACAATTCAGAGGTCGGACGCTGGATTCCGCGCACCGCAGTCTTTTTTCTGGATTATTTTTCTTTCTTGCGTTTTCATATATATAGATACGTATACATATACGCTCATTGACGCTAGCGGCGGCGGCAAAATTCAGCCGAGAGTGCCCATATTTTTGCTATCAGAATAAAAAGCTACCTACGCTCGGCACCCGGATTGTTGCGATGGGCCAACGCACGTTTATCTCCCAAGCGTACGTTGCCCCGGGGCGAGGTAGGTGTTTGTGCGGGCGCGCTTATTCTTCGGTGGGGAGAATCATGTGCCTTCTTTCAACAGAACGTTTGCGATAGTTGCCTGGGCCACAAAGGTTACTTCGCTCGCTATGCAGGCCCCATTTGCGAAAAGAGCACGCGTTTCCAACACAGTGAAGTAACAACTGGGACACTCGTTAGTTCGCACTCATATCTGTGCGTGTTATTACGTTTCGTGCACCGTTTTTGTTAAAATAGCGTGTTTAGCGTCGAGCTGTAAACGTTGTTAGTTAGCTCTCGTCCTGTGTGTATTGTTTTCGTGCGTCATTTGTGCGTGAGCAGTGCGCGGAATGTTTCGACCTGCTAGCTATTCTCGGTTTGAAATACCAAACTCAGTGTTACATACCAAACTGATACTTTTTATTCTTTTACTGCATCTATTTTTAGGCGCAGTAAAAAAGAGTAGGCGGGGTGAAGTAGGGTAATGTTGATCGTAACGTATTTTCCAAAAACATTTTGGCAGCAGTGTTCCGGCCTGAGATTATTTCATTGTTCTCTTCACCCTGTTAATTTTTTCATTTTTTCTTCAATCGGTTTTCTGCGACTCGGCACATGCTCTTCCGAAGTCGAAGGCCACAACGCATTGTCAAGGACCGCTTTTAGTTAAGCCGAGCCAAGGGTATGGTATAAAAGTGCGAACGACGTGTCAACTTGTAAAAGAAAAACCAAGGCAATGAGGTAATGTACAAACAAATTCATTATACCAGCATATATTGCAGGAAGAAGCAAATAGTCTCAGCGGTTTAGTACCTGACACATGTAGATAACCTTTGTGACAAGGAAAACAGTGTATACCTGCGCTCAGGCAAACATAGAAAGTTTTTACCCCATCCATGTTTGCGAGGCGCGCTTGACAAGCGTGACTGCTGACGAGTAGTGCGGCCCAGTGTCTCGTATTTGATGCAAAGGCACAAAGTGCCCGAGCGGGGTGCCATTGAAACACCAGTAAAGCTACAGGGTTTTGTTCCCCAGTAACAAAATCTTAGCTCTCCATATTCACGATTACTCTAGACACGGGGAAAAACTACTTAGTCTTCCTTAACACTACTTTTGTCTGCAGAAAAATATGCTATATGTTGTCATTTTAGCATTCACACCTTTGCGCCTAAACAATAAAACGTCACAACTCGTTCAAACATAGAGAGCAGGCAAATACTAAAGGTGGTGATAGATCTGCCTCTATGGGAATAAGTAGGATGTTTGTATGCACGAGTTATGTTACCAAGCTACTAACCTTAGACCATGGTAACGTGTTTTGAGTACTTTTGCAGTTTTTAATGCATCTGATGACATTAGCTTTATGGGGCATTCATTCTTAACTCAATAAAACAATCAAGATGCATTTCCTTCGTTGAGGCATTATTGGAATGCAACTGAACTGCCTGGCCATTTCCGGAGTGAAAATGGGCTAAGTTTTTTTCATATGCAGGAATTGGAAGGAATCGAATTGCGCCAAGTTCCAAATCCCCACAAGGAAATCGCAATAGAATGAAGGCGCCCATTCTGAAACACTGAAACTGACCCAATATATAACTTATGGGAAAGCTTAGCTCGTGAAATTGTGACGTTAGCTCATTTTATTCAAACCCCACCCCCTCCGAATTTCCCCTTCACCTTTCGGCTCTCTGTGGTACTTAATTTTGGGGCTGCGGCCCGGCCAGTGCCAGAGTGTCCCCTGCTCAGGAAACTATCAAAGCTATCTTTGAACCCCAGGTTTCAGCTTTCCCGTTTTTTGCCAACGGCCCTCCCTGTTTGTCAGTATTTTGCCAGCATTTGTACTGTGCCCATCTCACTGGGGCGCCAGTAACTGCGTGCCGCAAACGCGGTTCTCAATATTTATTTATGCTGGGCTGGTGTAATGTGGATGCCAGTAATCCTCGTGCTGCATCACGGTTCTCAGTAGTTTTCCAGCGTCCATGATGAGCCCCTGTCACCAGGGAGCCAGACAGAGCGCGTCACGCCTTCTGCTCTGCAACACTATTGAATCCTTTCTCGGCAGCGAACTCTTCGCTGTGCGAAGCCGACACGACAAGTGTACAGCTTCGGAAAAATTAGATACTTCGCAGACAACGAGCTCAATGTACCGGATTGCTGCCCACGGAATTCCCGAATTTCTGTGACGACGTTCAGTTCTCTCGGTAAACCCATCGTTGCGCGCGAGTTTCCCACTTTTGAGACACAGTCAAGTCCGAATGCGGGAATTCTCTACTTACAAGACACGATGAAGTTCGAACGGCACGAACTGCAGCAAAAAACAGGCGCTCCGATTTATACAACACACAGGAGCAGTGAAGTAAAACTTCCAATATCACCAGACCACACAGGCACAGCGGATTACGCAAGAACCATGCTGGAAATGAGGAACTGCAGGGGCCAATATCCTCCAAATATGGCAAACAACCTATGCGACACCAACATACAGTTAATATACTGCTCTTATATTAGGAAGCTTTCGAATAGGCGCTCCAAAGCCTTTTGCATATTCACGCTTTGGCAGGCCAGTGCCTGCGCTTTAGCAACGTCTTACTCATCTGAGATTTTTGTGATGTCTTTGCGAAAGTAATTTGTAGATACCAAAATGATAACTACAAAATTTAAATAACTGTTTTACGAGGTAAAAGTTCAGCCGGTGTTTGCTAGTATTCCTTTGTATTCAGAGACTAGACACTTATATTATCATGAAATAATGAATTTTGCGTCACTTGTGCAAGTCGCTGAATTCTGCAACACAAGGCCGTAAGGCTGTAGTGTATAGGCCTACAATTCATTGATTTTGAGCAAATTCACACACAGAGAGGATCGGGGACAGCTGATTGCTCTCCCATAGCAGAGTACATTCTACTTTAAATCATCAAACATTTACTACAAATATATATAGGAGAGTTGTTCTCGTAGGCGATGCGCTAGTTGAGCACATAGCTGCGCATATTTCTAGAGCAGCAGCGTTTAATCGTCTACCGGACAAGCTAAAAGAAATTCTGAGAGATCCCGGGCACTGCAAGAAGCTATATCCTTCAAAACAGTTACGTGCAAAGATGGATCGACGGCTCAATATAAATTGAGTAGTGCGCGTATTGTACCAGGCGCACCGAGTATACTGGCCTGTAAAGGAAAGAACGTGAAACGATGTAACGGCGGCAATCACGTCAGGGCGGAGACGTTAGTTTCATCGCGACAACGAGCACACTACAGTGGGATGATGGGCATGCCATAAGCAGCGGTCACAGGCGTATTAGCGCAATACTTACTACTACTACTACTACTACTACTACTACTACTACTACTACTACTAATAATAATAATAATAATAATAATAATAATAATAATGTCTGTTTTACAATAAGTACACAAAATAATGATGGAGGGGGTTGGAACAAAGCGATAATGCCCTTGACGCATTTCCCACTTCCGTGTACGTACACACACACACACACACACACACACTAAAAAGAACATTTCTAGACGTATGTACAATTACAGTGATACGTACATAAAACCTGAGAAAAAAAGAAACAAGTAGAAATCATACATACACAGATCATCGCTACTTGCTCCTAGCAAAAAAATCATACATATCCACAAGTAAGTACATATATATACGTACGCGAGCATGCAGTAGCACACAAAAGTATGCGCACATAATCGCGCACATGTATATTCAGTCATTAACAGAGGGAAAAAAAAGCAATGAACTGAGAACTGCCGAAGGATGATGTAGGTAAGGAAAAGTAGGAACTAATATTTTTGGGCTAGAAATATGCATATTCCCAGGGTACTGATTTCCGGAAAGCTAATATGCACATCGATGAACTGATTTAATATGAGTGACAACTGGTAGTGCCGTCCATAGTTGGTGTGGGCGTCAAGTATAATCTAGTGTGTTTTGTGGCAATGTGGAAATAATAGCACTCAAACAATAGTAAAGAGACAAGGCTGTGCAAGCTGCCCTGGTGTTTTTTAAGTCTGCTTTATATCTTCGTAGTAGTCTGTTGTGGTATAAGTGAAAGACATTAGGAAGTCATAGCTTATAGCTTACAGAATTATAGGTGTACATATTTAATGTCAGTCATACTTATATAAAACCGGATAGCAAACTCTGCACGGACACTTTGCGTATTCCTGACGTAATTCTTGCATAGGGTATTCTGCCGAAGCTATTTGAAGCATATATTTTATACAATACTTACTAGATGGTTACTCGAAGCATAAAGTTTCCTGGAATACTTACTAGAACGTGGTTTTGCACTGTGGCCTCCGCGATCAGCCTGCGTTTGACACCAAGTAACGATGCCACGTGATGATGTCATCACATCACAAAACTTTGACAATCATGAAGATTTCTTGCATCCATTGCTACGACGCAGCAGGCACGGAACACCGACGCCAGCACCGGTCTATTTTCGCCTTTGATAAGGCTTTAAAATATAGTTTTGGTGTGGCTGCAACAACGTGATACGTCGAATGACTCGCTCAACGTGGTACAGCGTCTTTAGTAAAGTGATTATCTGCAGCAATACGCTGCGCAGTGAATTTAAGTGGGCGCTAGCTGTCTCTGTAGTCGTGAAACGTGTACAAATATTCACATTGTGCACCAAGCCCAAGATTAAGGATCGGTTTCTGAAAAGACTCCGCAGTCGGTGTGTGCAATTGTACACGTTGCAACTGCAAGGGGTTAAAGAACTCGGCAAATTTTGCATTCTGTCTTGTTTACACGTGTACAAGCGCTTCGATGTGCAAGGAAATGACGACAAGGAAACCATGCAGCTTTAGGACGAACGGCAAGTTGCTTACCAGTGTAAAGTAACACTGCCGCGCTCCCTCTGCGCACTCACCGAGCACTTTTGGTCTTGTCCTACGTGATTTTGGTGAGGCCATTTCCTCAGCAGCAAGTTCGCTGGCCGTTACTTTGGAGTTGGTGGCTACGCTTTCAAAGATGTCCTTCAGGTCCTTGCGACAGCGCACCATAAAGGAGCGAAACAGCTCTGCAAACTCGAGGAAGTTCATCTGGCTGGAGTGAGTGATGGTCGGGCGGCTCAGGAGAGACGAGACTTTCGAAGTACTCGGCGTCACTTGGCACGACCTTTCCCTGGAGAACACGCAATGCGATGGTCAACAGAGCCGCCAACTGAGATCGGGTTGAAAGGCTTCGCGCATGTGCGCATGCATAATGCTGTGAGAACTAATATATCGAACGTTTTGTTCTAATACTTTTCATACATGAAATTGTGGTTACCGGTACAAAGAGAAAATTGCGTAAAAGAAAGCTTTCAGGTGCGGCAGACACCCATAAATGTTGAAATTACGCAAACTGTACTGAATTTATTTATTAACCTTTACAGTGAAAGCTGCATATGGCTAGGCGAAACGAAAAATTGTTCACCACGAGAAACGCTAAACGTCTCCATTGGCTGCTTCGTCACTTACGTCGTTCTCTAGTTGTGCCCAAGCGCTCGACCGATTGAGAGCATCATCTGCGACGACATCCATTTCTTCGCAGCCGTGCTGCCAAGCCCGCGCGCAGCAGTTTCAACGAAGTGGCTTGGAAAGAAAACCAACAAATATTGAAAAACGCTTTGTAAATTCCGAAGTGTGTTCGGGGAACACCTGTGCTCCATGAGACGGGGTGGGTAGGAATAGAACGCGATGCGCACGTCGCCCTCCTTGCATTAGTTGACACGTTAGGCCCAGCGACGCTACGCACGCGAAGAGCGACCGACACGACCGAGATCCGATGGCGCGCCCCGGCGGCCACCTGGCACCATGCCAGGGCACGGACGGAGGGACGAACTGACGTGAGCATGAGATATCAAAGGCCGTCGCCTTAGAAGTGCAGCGCCCTCTCTCAGTGAAGGTCACCTCAACAGCGCAGCAAAGCGATGGGCAGTGAGAGAGAAAGGAATGTAGGAAAGGAGAGAAATAGAATATGCAAAAGACGGTAATTCGGCCTTGCCCTGTCTGCACGCGCGCGCGCGTGGGCTGTGTTAAGCTTGTCGACAGGCAAAAGAGGGATGTAAACAAACATCACGTGAAGGGCTCCCGGGCGCGTCAAGAGTTCCGCGTCGCACATGGAGAGGGCACGGATCGTACGGACGGACAAAAAACAGACCTCTTTCAAAGAACAACGACGACAGCTGGTCCGCGGCAGAAATCATGTTCACCAGGCCAATGCAGCAGTCCGGGCATGAGAACAGGCCCTGCGAAGCGCAAACAGCGACTGTACACGGTGGATCCGGCAGCCGCCCGAGCCCAATCCAATCGACACCAGCGCGCCAGGGAACAGCGTTGCTAGCAGGACAGCGTCGACGTGGCAATGGCGGAAACGCGTGCGCCGGGACCAACGCCTGCTTTCCGCGGGAGTTTTTCGAGTGGCTTCGGCTGCGATGTCTGCAACCACCTGTGGCACCAAGTTGTAGCTTCGGTAGTTAACCATATGTATGGAGTGCTGTCAATCAACTACGCATTGCGATATTTGAACTGTAGCCGGGTAGCATGTGCACGGCTTCTGTATGCCGCAATATAGTTATTTATCGCAATGCATACAACCATGCTAATAAATGAACAGGTAATTCAGGAAGTTTCTCTAAACTACCAATGTGCGTGATTTTCCTTTTTATGGATGTAAGCCGCACGTGACAGCTTACTTCTGAATAATTATTTTATCTTTGATTATTACCTAATGCCTCTGTATGTATGTATATATATATATATATATATATATATATATATATATATATATATATATAGGATCACCACCCCTAAAGCAATTTTGTACATTTACCTTTGCCAGCAGTATTTCTTGATTGTCCTCACTATTATAAGCTGAATATATGGCACTGCTGCAACATTAAAAAATAAATTGCGCCACCTATAGGCCTCATAACTAACGTTCAGTGAGTGTGACGCCATTCCGCGGGACAAAATTAGATTATTTGAAGACATGTCATGGCAATAAACAAGGAACATCGCAAATGAAAGCAGGTACAACAATACGCGTGGTTATTTGCGTTTGTGTGTGCATGCGTGCAACTTGCGAACAGCACGCACACACACACACACTGTACTCCGTCTCACTACTACCGTTCATAACTGGCAAAGGCACGGAGTAAATGTATATATATATATATATATATATAGTTGGATCAGAACAACGCTGTTAAAGACCAACTCCGGCCATTTTCCGAGGTCAATAGATCTCAATGAACTTCACTGGGTACGTTTATTTGCACGTTTGCACCATTCATGCCAAATTGCAGGCCTGAAGTTTCCGCAGATTCTTTTCAAATGAATTTTATAGCTTGCCTCGAAACGCTGACATCGCTTGCCAGAAGTAATGACAACATTGTGCGTGTGTGACGTTTCGAGTTTTGCCTGGCGGAAGTGACGAACTGATGTGCCACTGCAGCGTCGGCTTGTCTGCTATGAATTGTGTGGGTTTGGCCGGCGCTTCCTTGGATGAGCGTGCGATTTCCTTTTCCGTGTTGGCGAGTGTGCGATAGGTGCCAGGTGGTGCTGCGTTGTGAGCTACACACGATTTGCCATATATTGACCATACGAGCGTAAGCGTTCTAGCCGGTAGCCGTGGACGACGTGGTCAAGTAGTACCATCTGGTGGGCATTATGTGCAATCAGACAGGTTCCGACAGCGATGAGGCAAATCTTTACGTTACACGTAGAAGCGCACTCGGTTGGGTTTCGGTTTTGGTATTGTGGTTTTTCTGCACTTAAAAATTATTTTCGAATTTTTCGAGCACTTCAGTTATAGGACGTGTGCGAAGACTGTCTAAGGATTATGAAAGCACCATTATCCTGACATGGTCAAAAAATCGCCGGAGTTGGCCTTCAACAGGGGAGGGGGTACGCGCTCACTTGTATCCCTTGGCAAGGGGAGTCGGTTGGATGAGGGGAATCCCTCCTTCGGTGCGGTTGAGGTACTCGCAGGACGAGGAACTTCGCGACACGCTTGTCCTCTGCGGACTCGACTCCTGAGAACGAAGGTGCGGCGACGACTTCACAGTGGCGCGGCGCTTCTTGATAGCCGGACTCTTTCTCGTAGGACCACCACCGCCGTCGTCTACCTCTGGTAAATATCTCGGACCCACGTCCTGAAACACAAGGCACGCTGCTCAGCTCGTATCGTGTGGAACTTTTCGAGTGCTTCGTGCCACCCGAACGAGGGAAACAGAAGTAGCGGTGGAAGGCAGCACAAGACGACAAAAAAAAAAAGCGTGTGAGAAAGCATTAGAGCCACGGAATAATACAACCAGTAAAAAGTTAGCTGTCACTTTTTGGTGGTACCCTCTATTGAATCCCTATCTTAGCTTCCTTTTAGTCTGTTTGAGTTGCACTAAACATTCAGAACGACGTGACGTACAAACTAGTACCACTCTTGCACGGAACGTGCTCACAGTGCTTCAGTACCTCGTTCCCCGACACGATTACTATAGCTGGAGTGGTGGGAAAAAAAGTGTATACGGTTAACTATGCACAATATATTGTTTTACATTAAGCAAAAAAGGGCTCACAAACGACAAGTTGGGCCTGCTGACAAAATCATCTTCAGGTTCATCGACAGTCCAGCCCATTTACATAAATGAACATATTTGCCAATATATATAAAGACTTCTGGGCATGGTGGTAATGCGCAAGTGCGAAATGAGGTGAAAATATATTAGGGTAAAAACGTCAACATTTTCGCACATTGCGAAGAAAAATCACAGGTTGCAACTATAATGCGCCAAACTAATCTTTAAAAGATCTGCTCAGACAGCTAAGATTGCCTATTTTCCTTGGGTAATCGGCTCTCTTTGTCAGTGTTAGAATGGCTGCCGACAGTACTCTTCCTGAGGATGTAAAAGATATTGCATCCTATGGACTACATAAAGTTTTCAAAATTTTCCACCTTAACATAACATCGATTCAATGAATTTGTGATGACACTACGATTTCGTTAAAATCATATAAAGTTTCTTTTGATGTAATCATGTTTACCAAGACTTGGTACAATGAGAACTATGATCAGTTTGATCTGCCTAGTTACAGTTCCTTCTTAAATCGTCAAGATAGCAGTGGAGGAGGTGTGTGAATACAGGTAACACTTCGGCTGTGGAGTTAGCAAGTTTGGCTCAAGTTTGGCTCAAGTTTATTGTTCTTCTCTTATAAGTCAGGCTCCCAGGCATCCGTTATTGCAGGCAGATAATTTTCGAAATGATCATGACGGAAAACTGCACACCACAAGAGCCACTTCGTAGGTTCACGTTATACGAAATCTTTGCCCATAAATTGATGAGCAGTACGATGATTACTTTTGAATATGTAGAGTATGTAAATACAAACACATTTGCAGGAGTGCGTGAAAAATAAGTAGCGGTATATATTTTGTAATACATTCACTCATGACCCCCTCCAATATTTTTATGACAGCTTCGACGATGAACATAGATCTCAGAACACTGATATTACAGAACGCTTACATAGCAATTATTTGGAGCCTTGATACTAGAGACCCCGTCATGACAGTGTACAAGAAATGTCCCCTTATTTATTGCTAGATTCGTTACTCGTGCATTTAGTATGGGTTTCTCAGCACTTTAAAGGAAATACACCAGCTTGAAGTTTACCCGAACGGTTGCTAGTGATGTAGAAGACTTCTTTTTTCGCAGTTTAGTCGTGCTCATTCCAAAACTTGAAGCCCTCTTGAAAGCCGAGGATGTAGACTCGACTGAAGAACTGCTTCCCAGGGAATTCAGTGTCCACTTTCTCCCACCGAAAACCTGAATGACAGAAGAATCGCAGTACGGCATCTGACAGTTTAAGCAAAAACAGTGAATTCCTATTGGTATGAATATTGTCCTGCTTAGTCTCGATTACTGGAAAAACAATATCACGAAACGCGGACACATAATAGTGGAACTTATGCTCTTGCTGCAACTAATGAAAACGCAAAAAATGAATTACTAAATAATGATGGAAGAAAAGGTTAACGAATAGTATGTCGTAGTACTAACTTGTACCCATTCTCTTGTAATTTTATGGTTTTTTGAAAAACATGAATTAGCTGCAGTCATAGCAATGTATTTTTGTGTTATTTTGTGCGTACGAGTAATAAGACATGTCGCATTTCGCCTGCACTGTGCCTGTTTTTTTAACAGGGTCTTTTCAATTTTAATAGTTGCCAAATTCATGAGTTTCACCGCTCTGCCAATAAGATACTCAGATCATTCTGAGCACACGCGAAAAAAAAACGCACCTTGATCGCCTCCGCAGGAGTCGGGCCGATGCAGCACTGCTCACGGAAGTACAGCTGGAGGTAGCTCTCCTTGAGCCAGTGGATTCGTGCGTCGCAGAGCTGGCGCTGCTGCTTCAGCATGGACACCAGCCGGCGAAGGCTGTCGTACCAAATGACCGATAGGAAGTTTGGCAGGATGAACTCCAGCACACGGTTCTCAGACAGGCCAACACCGAATTTGAACCGCAACAGGTTCTGGTCGCTGAACGAGTCTTCAAGGCCGTGCCGTTTCGCCACGGCCGCAACCTCGATTGAGCTGCGGCACAGCACTATCTCCTTGACAATGTTGATGTCCAGGAAGCCCTCTTCGAGGCCGGCCAGGTAGGACTCGCCCGTGTCATACTTCTGGCTTAACCCGACCGGCACATTCTCCTCGATGTTGACGCTAAGTGCATAGTCCTGGGGTCCGGAGCCCCGGAGCGCACTCCATGCTGGCTTGCACCACGTGATGGTGGCATTGCTGCGCTCGAGGCGCACGTAGCAGAGCGAGGAACGTGAGCCGTCTTCCTCCCAGTGAACCATGGTGCAGCCGTGGTGCAGGATCTGCAGCTGGTGGAAGTCCACTCGGTCTACAGTGAGCGGAACCATGCTGATGTGGTGGTCGTTGGCCAACTCCTGTATCGGAATGTACGCTTCCGGGTCTTGCCGGTACAGGCTGTCGTCCTCCTTGCAGTTGGTCTCCTCTCGCCTGCGAATTAGTGACGTTCAGTGGAAAAATTATCTTTATGAGGAACTTCAAATAGTGGGAAGGATTTGGGATCATTAGCACCTGCCTTCGAAGGGAACACTTAGTTTCATATGGTGAGTGAATATATCTGAGTGGCAATAGTGACTAAATTACAGGCGTAGGTTCTCTCCACGCATCCCGACGCCTATAATCTCGTCTCCTCACAAGAGTATATATTAAATTATATACGCTTACCTCGCTGCAAACAACGCGACGTATTGCATAAATGTGTGCTTGCTGCTTGAGCCTCGTTTTAACGTACCTACAGACAACTTTACATGCAGTCTATTTAAGGATGTCAAATTACGACATATTGTATTCCACATTCAAACAACGCAGTTTATTTCGTGATTTCTCTCACAAGCAGCGGATGATTCGACGGCTACAACAACGGCAGAAATAACTGACCTCAAGGAAACAAATTCACCATGGGGAATCGACAAGGTCTTAGAAAACTCTGAACACATAGCGTATAATTACTGCTTGACAGCAGCCATGCACACATTATTAGTATACTGAAACATCAATATGAAGCAAACACAGGGTTTCTTTGTCCTCTATGGAAGTGGGCAATTGAAACAAATACAGCAGTAGTAGGAAGCATATATTGCTCTCACCTGACTTCTTTGCTGTTTATGGCGACCTGAGCGAGGGCTTGTTCCCTGCACTTGTAGTGATGATGAAATGCTTTGATGTCGTCTAAAACACGATGTGCCTGGTGAACCTTCTCCACATTAATGATTCCCCCGACTCCGATACGAGTCATGAAATGATCTTCACCATGAAAATCGGACACAAACTGGAAGGGGAAAAAAGAACGCTTTTACAAGAAAGCATGCAGTCTTATGAACACTTCTGCATGCTTTGACAACATTTGATAATTCGTCTTATTTATGCAAGCTTATATAAACAGGCTATCATCGATATGAGTAGCTTGGGTTTGTTGGTACACTCGGGGAGCGGAATAGCACACACTTAAACAGGGACGGAGTAAGCAGTGCAATATCAACATACGTTTATTTAAAATAGAAGCGAAAGGCGTGTACAAAACTGGGTGAGCTGAGTGCGCATGTCACATAGGTAGGACAGCAAACTATCTATAAGAAATGTAGAGAAGCAGTGTAAAGGACCCTGGAGATGGTCGTCTAGCTATGGCCTGCGGTATGTGTATATGTCAGCCTGAATTTGATGAAGTTGATGTGATTGTCAAGAATAAAAAAGAAGAAAAGATCTGAGATGTAATTGAAGCCCAAATGATTAAACAGTTAGGCAAACATTGTGATAGCAGGCCTTTTATTAGTTTAGCTGAAGACTTGGGTTCCTTTATGCCGATTTCAAAGTTTGCAGTCATGTTTTAATGACATGCGCACTAACGTCAAATATTTTTGTAGATAAATCTTTCTCTGTCGTTTAAAATAAACATTTATCAATAGTTAGCAATTGTGTCATGTTGCTTACAGCATCACGACACAGCGCGTTAGTAGTAAGCAAGTACTTGCAATAAATTACATTTCATTGTAATTTAGTAACTTTTTCGACTACATTATTGCAACTTTAATGCTTTGGGTAGCCTAATTATGGTTTATTGCTACGAATTACCCGTAATTTATCCCTTTTCTCAAAATCACTCTATACAAAGTCTTATACGGCAGTTGTCCTCCCGAAAAATATATGACAACTATATAATCTCTCCTCCCGTTCTTCCGGAAGGAGGGATTACAGCCTGCACCTGCAAGACCCGGAAGCGTACATTCCGATACAGGAGCTGGCCAAAGACCACCACATCAGTATGGTTCCGCTCACTGTGGACCGAGTGGACTTCCACCAGCTGCAGATCTTCAACAGAGCCGATGGCGCAGGGCAGGTCACAATTTAAGACAACACGCAAAGTGGAATAGATGCTTTTTCTGACTAATAATGGTCGAACTAAAGTGCCACGCTAGTTTGATAAAAGCTTGCCATCAAGTTGTACACTGTTTGATTATTAGCTATGCAAGTCCAGAAAACGTATGCTCGCAGGCATATAATAGAAAACTGCGATAAAAGATTTGCAGCCTCAAGAGGAAGAAACATTAGTCAGCTCTGCTGCAATAAAAAATTTATGCGGGAAAGCCTACCAAAGATCAGAAGGCGCCGCTACCACGGAACATAGCATGGCCCGAAAATACGTTTTTTTTAACATGAAAGTGTTTTATGCTGGAATACACCACGGCTCCATTTACGTATTTCCTTCACGAATATGACGTTGAAAATATACACTAATAGATCGCAAAGAAAAAACTACTAGACAACGTTCCATCCCAGGGGATCGAACTTACGACCTCTTGTTCCGCAGCGTGTGGCGCGCAACAACTCGGTCACAAACTATGCGTTCTTCGTAAGCCTTGTTGCAAAATAATAGCGAAGCAACGTGGCGCATGCCGCACTCTATGAAAGAAGAAGAAGCAGAGGAGATACCGGGGCACGCGCACGGGGTCGGCGCAGTTCGATGCTAGAATTTGCAAGAAACAGACGTCTCTCTTTCACGCCTGGGCAACGAGTCATTTGGCTACAGTGTTGGTGCCGCGAAACCAGGGACTGCCCCTCGAGAGACTTCCTTTCACGTCATGGCCATGGCGAACTCTGACCACCTTCAGAAGCAGCGCGGCTCAATCAGATCTCTTGTCACCCGAGCCCTGACACTTCTAACAGACCTACTGCAGCAACCGAATCCTGATGCCTCTCAAATTAATGTTCACATGGGTTATCTCAAGGACAACGAGGCAGTATTATCGAACCTCGACGACATCATCCTTGTGACCACAGACCAAGAAATTCTCGACCACGAAGTAGGAACGGCGCAGGAATACAACGAGAAAATTCTCTACGCGGTGTCGCACGCCAAGTTCTGGCTGCAAGAACGTGAGAGGACGGACAGAACACAGGCTCAAGCAACTGAGCCCGGGCCTAGCTACCTCGGATCTCTGAACTCCGCCGACGCAGCAGGCCAGGGGACAGAGCGCCGTCAGCACCCAGTACAACTACCGAAGCTACAGATACCGACTTTCAATGGTAGTCTCCGTGGATGGCAGTCCTTCTGGGGCCATTTCGACGTTATACCATCCACAAGAATACCTAGCTGCCGCGCATCGAAAAATTTAAGTACCGCCTCACCTACTGAGCACGAAGCGAGCTGTCGAAGGCATCCGTCTAGCAGAACAAAATTACGACCTTGCAATCAAAACCTTCATGGTCGCTTTGGACGCAAGAATCTGCTTATAAAACAGCATGTTGATCATATCCTTACACTAAGCCCCGTGAAAACCTCGTCAGAGGCCCCAAAGCTTCGTTTGCTGCACGATAGTGTGCAGTGCCACTTTAGTGCCTTGGAAGGCCTCGGAGTTGCGGCCGATCAGTACGCCGTGGTCTTAAACTATGTCTTCATGCTATGCCTACCAGAGGATCTTGCCATTGTATACAGGCAGAAATCCAAGGAATCGAACGGTGCCTCCAGCATCGCCGTAACCCCTGAAAACCGAACACGGCTAGCCAAAGAGTTACTAACGTTTATTCGCATACAAGAGAAATCTGGGAGGAGGGCTGGCTACAGTCTCGTTGTACGTCGCAAGACGAACCGAAATGTATGCCGTGGAACGCATACCATCAGTGTCAGCACCAACCGAATCTACATTCCTTGTCAGACCGCCGTGCTCGCTATGTCAAGCCAACGATCATGCTATCACTGGTTTGATCATGCTATCACTGGTTGCGTATATTTCATGATCGAAGCAGCATTGCGCTGGCATTGAGTTCCAGTGACCAGGAAGGCAACATTGTTCGCTGCCACGGCCACGTTTGCGAAAGAAACACGCTGCTGAGACACAAAGTACCTTTGACAGTTGATAGTTCGCGCTCGCCCGTGTACTTATATTTAAGTGTAGGTTAAAAAAACCCAGCTGATGGGAATTTCTAGAGCCCTCCAGTGCGGCGTCTCACATAATCATTTCCTGGTTTTGGGAGGTTAAGCTCCCGGTGTTATTGAAAGTTCGCTTGTCGAGTGTATACTTGTGCGCTCGTTTTGTGCGTCCTTCTTTGTGTTTGAGCCGCACACGTTAAGTGTCGAGCTGTTACAGTTATTAGCCGGCGCTCATCCTGTGTATATTCTTTTCGTGCATCTTTTCTGCTTGAGGAGTGAGCTGCAAGTTTTGAGCTACTTGTTGTTCTTCGCATGACATCACAGTTTGTTTCTGTACAATTTATCCTTTGCCCTTGTTACGAAGCAATGCACACTAAACGCTCAACAACCTCAGTGAAGCCACATTTTACGTCCGCGTGTCACTGATCCCAATAACAGAGGTATCAGCCAAGTTTATGTTTTTGAGGGAGTGTTCGTCAGATCCCCAAGAATGGCTTCGCGGACACCCTGCACCATGGAGTCTGCAGGTCCCCATTTAAGAGCCAATGCTGTTGACTATTTCTGATGTTGAAGGACTTGTGATCATTGACATTCCTCTAAAGACAGCTGTGTTGACATGTATTCCTCGGCATTCAGCTCATAATTCTGTTTAATCTTGGAATCAATGTAGATCAATATGTACCAGTGCATTTTGCAATATAAATGCTTGCTAGTGTGTTTCTTCTGCTTTGCTGCCAGGGTGGCACGACCCTGGCAGCAAATGATGATCTTCTTGCCACACTGGTCGTGTCCCCAAGGCGATTTGTAACAATTTCGCCTTAAATAAAGTGAATAAAATAAAATAAATATAGCGCAATAAAATGGCGCAATAAACGTCGTATATGTGTCTAGTAGAGGGTGCTGTACATCCACATCCACAAGGTCACAGGACTATCAGTTGATGAAATGCTGTGCACAAAAGCGTGCACCCAAGCAATTGTAATATATTTCATTTTGTATATATTGCCATACTTACGACTGTAACATATAAACACCTTCACGGAATGGCCTCTCGGACATGGCAGTGAATAAAGTGTGCCATTAACAAAGCAGAGCTGCTTGCCATTGTCAGACGGTCTTCGCTAATATGTTGAACACCACGAGTAGCGAGAGTCTGCTACTATGCTAAACTTTTTTGTACATGTAGGTAATATTCTATATCCACATTGTAAGGGCCATATTTCCGGCAATAACCTGTTGATCACAAACAGCTGTGACGAACGCGAACATGCGCAAACTTTGCGCGCTGGAAATATACTATTCCAATGTCTTGAAATAAAGATGAACGAGGTGTACGTTTGTGCTATACAATAAATACTGCTCAATATGTTCCAAGGGCACCATTCGAAGATTTGACAGTCCCTCTCCAATCAGTGTGGACGCTTACCGTTGCTTTTAAACATCTATTTACTATGCCTTCTAAATTGCCTCTCTAGGTTCCAGAGCAATGGGACGAGCCATTTAATAACGCCATTCCTTCGCTCGAGTCTCGATTCTCCCAAGCGCGACCATCGCGAACAAGGTGACAAGTTGGCCCGTGCCTCGGCTCACCGGTGGGCATGCATGGCTGCGCGTTCTACGCATACAATGGAGCCTTCGCTCACGTCGGTTAACGGCTCTTATAACAGCAACGAAAAGCACGGCGTTTCGCCGAAGCCATAGCACGTCACCTGCCGAAGGAGAGGAGAAGGAATGACGGAGTCAGCCACGCCACGTCCTACTACAAACACCGCTGCCCAGTTCCATAGCACGGTCACGGAAGCTGTTCGGGACGTGCAAACAGCAGCGAATATAAACATAATAGCACGCGACTGACAGGCAAAACAAACCAAACGAGGATTTAAATACACAAGTGCACGACCAGA